GGTACAAGATTCCCAGAACAGAGGGTGGAAGGTGTAGACGAGCTCAGGTGCTCATGGCTATGGGGTCTTCTTTATGCCTTTCCACCACTTCCATTCGTACCAGGGGTGATCAGGAAGGTCATCAAAGAGTAAGCGGAGGTTCTTCTTGTAGCCCCTCATTGGCCCAGGCGATCATGGGTCTCTCAATAGATCTGTCAGCCTACATTTTCTAATGTATAAGATGGTTTTCCCCATAGCCATAATGTCGGCTAGGAGGATATCAGACCTGGTGGCCCTATCAGTCAGGGAGGACCTCTGTATTTTCCACATCAATAGAGTTGTCCTATGGTTGGACCCGGCCTTCATACCTAAGATCAATTCCTATTTCCACTGTGCCCAGGAATTGATCTTGCTGGACTTTTGCCTGACACCATCTCATGTCCGGGAGAGAATCTGGCACATATTGGACATAAGGCAGGCCCCCCATATATGTATATCAAACTGACTGCAGCTTTTAGGAAGATGGAGGCCATGTTTGTGTCGTTTCTACTTCTTCTGGGACAGAAGATTATACCATTGGCCATTGGCAGATGGATTAGGGGCTGCATTGCTGAGGCTTATGAAGTACTAGGACTTGCCAAGCCATGACAAATTATGGCTCACTCCACATGAAGCACAGTCACGACGGCTGCGTGGGCTACCCAGGTGGAAGAAATTTGCAGAGCGGCAACCTGGTCGTCACCTTCATCTATTATTAGGCATTACAGACTCAACACATTTGCCTTGGCGGAAGCTGCCTTCCGAAGACAAGTCCTGCAACAAGTACTTTCAGCATCACAGGCTCAGGACCAGCCAGTGACCCACCCTTAGGACATCAGCTTTGATATGTCCCATGCTGTCTGGATCCTATCAACACCACTCTGGAGAAGGGGTGTTGGTCTTACCTGAGACACTCCTTCTCAGAGGGTGGAGATAGGATGCAGCCCCATCCTGGAGACCGTCTGGTCCAGGGTGCAGGTATGTGAGTGGACATTTGCCATTATCAACCATGTGCATCGCTTCAACCTCATCGAAAACTGGGGACCGTTAGGGAGGAAGAGGCATGTCCTCAGTTTAAACAATTCAGTCTAAAGAGCAAGCAGATCAGAGTCATCCCACACTGTCTGGATCCTATCTCTACCCTCTGAGAATAAACGTCTCTGGTAAGACCAACACCCCTTCTATGAACTTGAATCTTTCTTGGTGTTCATCTTGTCAAAAAAAAAATACATTTAGGTTGTGTACTACCTCACATCATGCTGATTGAGAAAATGGCCTACACTTGTATAAAATTTTGTTTTGTTTTTTATTTTTTTTATTGTTTTATCATAGAAAATAAAATACAAAACAGTAAAACAAACAAAATAAAAGCATCTATTCAACCCTAATAACAAAAAAAAAAATAGTGTACAAAAACCAAGAAAAATTGATCAATTAAATTTAACATGTAGGATCTTCGTTGGCTGGGTGCTAAAAGAAAAAGCAGTACATTGTATAAAAATTGTTAACGATATTAAGCACACTGTATTCAATCTTCAGATTTGATAGATAGTAATTTGGAGGATCCAGAAGATTTTATGCTGTTCCCTTTGATAATCTTTAATTTAAAAAATTAGACCATCAAGTTAAATCCCACTCAGTGCACGATTCAAACTAAAACATCAACTGATGCCTGACTTTTTAAAATTATCTTAACTGTTCTAAAAGGTTATTAAAAATTCGTTTATCTCATCTAGTGAACTTGCTCTTATGGAAATTTACCTCTTCTGTCAATTTTTCTGACAACATCTCATTTCTGTATAATCTGATAAATCTTCATCCTTTCTTATCTCAAGTGTGGCCACTTGCGTTGCCAATCCTCTTTTTTTTCTTCAGGATGTGATACATGGTTCTGCTTGCTGCACAATAACCAGGTTGTTTTACAAGTCACAACCATACATTTCTCTCTGTGTATTTTTGTGTTTTAATATCCTACCAGTTGAGGATTATTTCTTCTTCCCATTTCAGGCCAGCCAAAAACACATTGTTAAGTTAGAGGGAAAATGTTAATTGAATTCAGCTTATAAAACACTTGTTTGCTCTCTCAGTAACTTTACTTATTGGAAATACTTTGCTTTTAATTCTTTCTATAATCTCCATTTATGTGACAGGCAGTAGTTATTTCACCACCCAATTTAGGCAAATCAGCACCTTCATAACCTTTGGAATTGGGAATTAGGTCATTACTTTTTTATCTATATATGTAAAAGCCAAGTACCACTCACTCATCATGAAATCTCCAGAACCATAAAGCCTACAAACTTGAAATTTGGCATGTATGTTCCTCTTGGCTTCTAGGTGCTCGCTAAGAAAGGATTTTTCGAAATGACCATTGGATCATTAGTATTTCAGTAGCATTTCTTATACAGTAATTAACATGCTCTGGTGCTAAGGAGTTCTTCTCCCCCTCTCCACCTGAAAAGAACTCTGTTCCAACTGCCAGTTGCCTTATATTAACACGCTATGATGCAAAGGAGTTAGACATTCTACTCCCCCTCCCCACCTGAAAAGAATTATGTTCCATGTATCAGTTGCCTCACATTCCGTTACCTCAGTTCAAACCAGCAGAGGTTCCACTCCCTCCCTCAGGAGTGGTCTGAGGCTCTTTACAGTACTAAACGTCAGTGCCTCACCAAAATGTCTATGCCTTCCACCTATGCAACAGCTTCTGGACTCAAGGTGGCGGGAGCGATATTCCCTTATGTGTTTCAGTCACCGACCCCCACTGAGCCAACAATTTCTCCTGCATAGCCCAATCACGTAGTTTCATCGTGAAGCACAGATATCCAGCTAGTATTTCATAATTGGGTACACAATCACCCAGAACACAGAACTACTCTAGTTGCTTGTCTAGTTGTCTGTTCCTGCTGTACTCTATCTGGAAACTGGGTTTTTTTTCTTAAATGTTGTATTTTCCTTTTACTGTTTATATTCATTTAATTTGTATGCTATCCAATCCTGAAGGCTCTAGGTGATTTACAAGTTTACCTGAAAATCTTCTGTTTAATCAAAAGGCATCATGAACACAAAATGAATAGTCAATAGATCTTAAGGTGTATAGGTAGTTCTCAACTTATAACTATTCATTTAGCAGCCATTAGTAATTACAACAGTGACTTATGACTGTTTTTCACATGACCGATGCAATACCCCTGTGGTCATGTGATCAAAATGTGGACACTTGGCAACTGGCATGTATTTATGAGAGTTGCAGTTTCCCAGGTTCATGTGATCCCCTTTTGTGACCCTCTGACAAGCAAAGTCAATGGGGAAGTCAGATACACTTAACAACTGAAATGATTCACTTAACTGTGGCAAAAAGTTCATAAAATGGGGCTAAACTCACTTAACAACTGTCTTAGCAATGGAAATTTTGGGCCCAGTTGTGATTGTATGCAGAGGACTTCCCGTATCTCTTCTTTGTACACTGGGATAATCCAAAATAATTGTAGATTATATGGTCAAAATTTGTCATATTGATTTATCTTTATGGTCAGAAATCAAATGAGGGCAGAAATAGTATGTTCTTTATCAATATTTCTATAAAGCACGTATCAGATTGTCACATACATTGTTCTCCTTTGGAACATTCAGGAGCTAAAATATGTTTAGTTACTGATCAACTCCCTATACATTGTGTAGTTAGGCATGGATTGAACCTTTTTTCTTCAGATTTTTGTTTGTAGTAGCTATTGGCATGGTAAATTGTGTTGCAAGAATGTGTTCATTCATTAAATAAGTCTTTAGCATTTCAGCTCAGAGTTGTGGAAATGCTGTTGCTCTCTCCAGAAAGGGCAGAATTTTTTCTCCATTGCTTTTGCAAATTAGTTTTCTTGCTGTAGAAGGGGTGTCAAATGGAAGGACCACAGGCCAGGTCTGCCCATGGGGTGCTTAAATCAGGCCCACAGCGCTGGCCTGGGAATAGCAAAGGATGGGCCCACGTGCCTCTGAAATCCAGTTTGACGCTTCTGTGCTAGAGGAAGAGTAAGTTTAGTACCCCAAATATTTATTTCAACTTACATTAAGTAATTTGAAATAAATAGATTCATCCCCTTTAGAGAAGCAGGTATTATACTTATCTGGGAGTAAGAGCCATTGTACTAATTAATTTTATTTATAGAGTCAATAGACATGGTTTATATACAGAGTCCTTATGCCTTTTGTTTAGAGCAATGTTTCTTAGCCTTGGCAGCTTTCGAATGTGGCCTCCAACTCCCAGAATTCCTTAGCCAGCCTCAATACTGGCTATAAATATATTCAAAGCCAAGGTAATCCACTATTGATTTTGATGGAAGGTGAGCAAGCTTGATTGTCAGGGTCAGGGAAGGAAGCAAAGCAGGGTACTGTAGAGTACATGTCTATATTTTTTTTTCTTTTGTCTTTTGGAGAGATCATTTCAGGTACTTTTCTTTTCAGTTAACTCTGAACAGGCATTAATATCTTGGGGAAGTGGGGGGGTGTCGGGATGGTAAATAGGTTGCTTTGACTTCATTAAGTTACCAATTTAGCTTAAAAGGAAAGACTACTTGACTTCATTTCCTAAAGTGCAGTCGACATTTATTATTTGACTAACCAAATTGATTTCAACTAATTTTTTTAAAAAATAACTCACAAGAGTAGAGATGAAGGCAAAAGCAATAGAATCACATTACATTAAATCATGTAAATACAGTTTATAGAATTGTTCCATTTATTGATGTCAACTCTTTGAGATGTGCTGGTCAGAAACACAGTCCATAATAACTACTGGAACTGGGGAATTCAAAACAAAATAGCAGTTTCCATCTTGTAGAACCAACTTCTTGGGAAACTTAACTTCTTTCTGGTTTGCATTCAAAATATTAGTTATGGTTCCTTCAAGCTAAGCTCCAGGAAGAGGCTTTAAAAAAAACCACTTTTCTAATTTTTGCTGAACTCAAAAATGCTTTGTCTCCTTTTGATAGTGTCAGCAGCAGCAGACTCCTTCAGTTCAGCAGGCTAGTATGGTATCAACTGCTATGGGATCAGGAGCACCTACAGCAGACCCAGAAAAACGCAAGCTTATACAGCAGCAACTTGTTCTCCTCTTGCATGCTCACAAATGTCAGCGGAGGGAGCAAGCAAATGGAGAGGTACGACAGTGTAACCTTCCACACTGTCGAACAATGAAGAATGTCCTCAACCACATGACACATTGCCAGGCTGGAAAATCCTGTCAGGGTAAGTGCAACATTTGATTTCCTATATACTTGTGATCATGTTCTTTGCAGCAGGGATTGGCAGAAATTTGATCTTAATCTAATGTTAGTACTTTGGATGATTTTTTTGGAAGTCAGCAAGGGTTTATATTAAACTTACAGTTATTTAACATGAGCAACAATAAAACTACTTGCCTTTACTCAGACTATTATATTGCTGAAATGAAAACTGGTTTGTAGTTCTAGTATTTAATAGAATGATGAATTTGAAATCTGATTTATTTCGCATAGTGTTTGTACATTGAGAACTAGGGAGTCTACAATGTTGGTACAGAATAGTTTGGCTGCCTAAGATTGCTAGTTTGTTTAGTTCATTCAGGGTACACCGCAGGGGGTGAACTAGCTCCACCCACAGTGTCTAACAGTGTTCTGTGCATGCGTCATCCGGAGCTTTTCTCCACTGAATTTGTCTCACATTTGGGCAGGTCCAACGTTATTTGTTTTCTTGCTACTTCACAAAGCATTGTTAGCTTCCCATCAGAGTGGTACCTATTTATCTACTTGTATTTTGCATGGTTTGAACTGCTACCGGTAGGTTGATAGAAGCTGAGGCAAATGACAAGAGCTCACTCCATCACACAGTGCTAGGGCTCAAACTGCTAGAGTATAGAGAGAGAGACAACCTTTTCCACCTGGCAAATACAGCATCTTTAAGCCGCTGAGCCACAACGCGTCTTAAGATCAGAGTTATAAATGCATTGAAAATTTAGTAAGCATCATGGTTTCTACTATGCAAGAAAAAAGAATTGTCTAAATGATTTATTGCAATATGTCCAGAAACTATAACCTACCTGTACTTGGCTGGAATGAATCCACAAGTTATTTAATGATCACAACTGGGGTAGGCTTTCTAATTCTAGGAACCTGCGTGTTTTAAAAGTTGAAATTATATTGTACCGACTGTTTTATTTCTAGGAATCAACAGCAGATTTCAATTTGTATAGATAGTTTAAGAAATGTTCAGGTTTGTGCGAGTCACACATCTTTTTACTTTCTTTTAGTGGCTCATTGTGCATCTTCACGACAAATCATATCTCACTGGAAGAATTGTACCCGGCATGATTGTCCTGTGTGTCTTCCTCTTAAAAATGCTGGGGATAAAAGAAATCAACAATGTAAGAAATCTGTTACATCCTTTATATTTATTGTTATAATATCATTGTTAGGCTATTAACAAAATCAGAATCTTATACTTATGTATACTGTAATTCCATAGGGTTTTTTTTTTTACAATGTTATGCAAAGTAAGAGGCTTGAAACTGACAATCCTTTATAGGACAAACAGTGTATCAAAAGATGTATTTCTTGTTTATTGCATTAATTTATGTGCTGCCTCCTAGGACACTAAGCACTTAGAATGTAATAAAGATGCCTGTTTATTTATTTTATTTATTTATTTTTGTCAATTGCTTACAAGATAATAGGTATAAGTAAAAACATAGTTATGAATACATGGATACATATAAGAAAAGTAAAAAAAATAAAAGAAACAATAGGACAGGGACGGTTAATGTTCACTTCTTAGTTTCTTCCTTTACTTTCATCCATGTATTGCAGCCTTTGCTATCCTGCATTGCAGAAGTTATAAGACAAGTCCACAAAAGCTTTCAGAACAAAAATCCCTTAAAATGAGTTCCTCAGTTACAATTGCGGTAGTTTAATTAATAAGATTTTATTTGGATGAGAATAATCAGTATGCCAGTTTATGTTAGGCCATGTTAAGCTTTTTCAGTGCCTGCAGGAGTGACTTTTTAGTAAATCAATATTTCTTCATTGATGAAAGGTACATGCCATGCTTTCCCCATAGTCATGCTTCTATTTTTCTATTTTTCCTTGCCTCTCCTCTACATAACTCTTGATCAAGCTGAATAATTGGCAAAAATGACCAAGATATATTGAGTATGTAATAATAATTTTAAAATAGTAAGAATGCAAGATGTTTATAACATGAGCACAGAATTACTTTATGAAGACTTAATTCTGATTTAACACTTAGACATTAATGTTGTTGAATGGGCTCCATTTTTGCTTCAAAAATGACATTCCTTGAGGGGAATAAAGCCTTTAACAGCTTACAGTGATTCGTGTTTTCAGATTTCATGGCTATATGGGGGCACTGCTGTTCCATCATTTCACTTACATGTCAGCAGGTCTAATGAATCCTATTACAGAGACCAACATTTCTGTCATATCAGTGGGCTTTTTAGAGAGCTCTTTTGACTAGGCTTATCTCTAATTCTGAAATTTGATCAATATAATAAAAGCAGGGAAAAATTCTCACTTGAGCATGAAACCCTGATTAGTGACAGGTTTAATTTTTAAAAAGTATGTTTCTCATCAACAACTTTAAGAATATTTATCTCATCCATTTGTTGATATCCTGATTCTGCCCAAAATACAGGTAGTCCTTGACTTACAACAGTTCATTTGGTGACCGTTCAAAATTACAACATCACTGAAAAAGTGACTTATGACCATTTTTCACACTTATGACCTTTGTAGCATCCCCATGGTCATGTGATTTACATTCAGATGCTTGATAACTGACTCACACTTATGACAAGTAGCAGTGTCTTGGAATTGTGTGATCCCCTTTTGCGACCTTCTGACAAGCAAGGTTAATGTGGAAATCAGATTTCACTTAACAATCATGTTACTAATTTAAGAACTGCAATGATTCACTGTGGTGAGAAAAGTCATAAAATGGACCAAACGCACTTAAACAATTTTCTCACAACATAAATTTTGGGCTGAATTGTGGTCGTGAGTTGACTACCTGTATAATGTGGCTTATTTGATTTTGATATAGTATGCTATATGGTTCCACGTTTTTGATGTTTATTTAAAAATCTGGATTAATCTCAATCCAGCTAGGTTTTTTTTGTAATCATCTCTCTATCTTTGTGTTTTTATTGCTTCTAGCATTATTAGGTGGTGCTGCAGTAGGAATTGGAAATTCTGGTTCTGTGGGAGTTGGGCAGCAGACAACACCCAACATAAATGCTACTAACCAGATTGACCCCAGCTCTATTGAGAGGGCTTATGCAGCTCTGGGGCTGACATATCAAGGGAATCAGATGCCAACGCAGACACAAGCTCAAGTGAAAAGTCAGCAGCAAGGACAGTCACCACAGGGGCTTCGCCCCATGAATCCCACAAGTGAGTTCATAGAAGACAAAATATGTCTCATAACCAATAAATAATTTTACATTTGTATATAACTTAGCACTATCTTTATCTTATTGATGAGCATTTCTCTCTGAAGTGCCAAAAGAAATTTAAATTATTAGAAAATTATTACAAAAATTGAAAAAAAATCTTAAAATTTGATACCTTTTCTTTTTAACTTAATTATTGGTACATATTCCTACGGGAGGGAGGGGGGAACATCTTGGAAGTGTGGCCATGATTTTTTTTTAATGTCCTGAGGTCTCAGCAATTTACTAGATCTCCCTTAAGAATCCTACTGTATTTTCTCTTGAAGGAGATTTCTCTAATAATGATAATTATTTGATGCAAAAGTTACAAACTTTGTATATGTTTATATGTTTAAGCTATAAAAATCAGGAATGGAGTGGATTCTTACATGGTATAGGTATAATACAAGCTGTAAACAGTAAGGACTTGCTTTTTGTAAAACAACATAGAATCTAAGATTTAATGAGGAGGTTTGGGTTTTGTTTTGTTTTTCCTATATAGGTGCTAATCCTATGGGAGTGAATGGAGGAGTTGGAGTTCAAGCCCAGAATCTGCTACCAGATGCAATGTTGCATTCAGCTGTAAATTCTCAAAAGTAAGATTACTTTCATTTAACTTATAACCTGTAAAATTAGCATAGATGGGCAGTTGCTGTACTTGAAAGAAGGTTTTCTGGTAACTTAGCACCAATAAGAAACTTTACAGATATATTCTAGCATCCTAACCTGGGCCTGGAAATACATTGATTAGTGCTGCTCATCCACTACTTATTAAATTACCCTAACCCAGGAATGTCAAGCTCGCGATGACACATTGTCACATGATGTATACAACTTTTCCCCCTTCACTAAACCAGGGGTGGCCGTGACTAGCACATGACGCATCTGGCTGTGGGCTGCGACTTTGACACCCCTCCCCATACCATTTAAAAATCACTAAGACTGGAAACTGCATTTTGTACCAGCTGAATTTTCCATTACTACAATACATTATGAGTTAGTAATTCAGACTGAATATTACTATTACTGAGATTGGAGGCTCTTTTTCCCCCGGTACAGCTACAGCTGGTATACCTTCTAAATTGGTTAAAAATTCTCCTAAATATAGCATGATCTGTCTTGGATGATGCCAAGCAAAGGAAAACATCCAAATAGTGCAGGGGTATCAAATTCAATTTTATTGAGGGCAGCATCAGGGTTGAGTTTGACCTTGGGTGGGCCGGGGCATGGTGTGGCCAGAGTGGGCATGGTCATTCATGTCGGGGCGGTTGCCTGTGGAGGCCTGAGAGCTCTGCCAGCGAAAATGGGCTCCTGAGCTCCCCGGCTGGGCTGGCTTCCTGCAACCCTCTGGAGGTGAACATGGAGCTTGGAGAGGCATGCGTTGCCCTCCCGAGCTCTGTTTTGGGTTGGGCCATCCTCCTTCAACCCTCTGCCAGTGAAAACAGAGCTCGGGAGGGCCACACATGGCCCTCCGGAGCTCCATTTTTTCTGGCAAAGGCACCATTGACCAGTCCTTCGCTATTTTTAGGGCAGCCCGGTGGACCAGATCTAAGCACCCCATGGGCTGGATTTGGCTCCTGGGCCTTGAGTTTGACACCCCTGAACTAGTGCATTTGAAATGCAGTCCAATATAAGCCCAATTATAGTCCTCTTTCAAGGCAGTTCCTTACTGTTCGACAATAGCTCCATCTTGTCAGGTTAGATCTGCATGCTATCCTCAAGGAAAGGGGACATGAGTAAAATCTTAAAATCACACAAATATTGAAATTTACTTGGTTTTGAATTTTCTCGTATAAAGGTAGAATTTTCTCATAATGTAGAAATTCTAGAAAATTTTCTTTTTAAAAAGAACAGGATTCTACCTTTCCTTTCTCAATAAAAAACAATAATTGAATTGGGTATTGAAAAAAATTTCACTAGAAAGGTCAGAATATTGGATGTAAAAGTAGATATGATTGAACTGAATGAAGTAGATATATCGACTAGAAGTTAATATAAAATATGAATAAATGCTTATTTTTCCCAAATATACTTAGTAACTTTAGGACAGGTGAAAATTAAATGTATTTCATTTTACTCTTTATTGGGTAGTCCTCAATATACAACAACAGTTGAGCTCAAAATTTCCATTGCTAAGCAACTCAGTTGTTAAGTGAGTTTTCCCCACTTTATGACCTTTCTTGCCACAGTTGTTAAGTGAATACTGCAGTTAAGTCGGTGACGCAATTGTAAAGTGAATCTGGCTTTCTCATTGATTTTACTGTCAGAAGGTCACAAAAGATGATCATGTGATCCCAGGATACTGCAGTCATCATTAATATGAGTCAGTTGCCCAGAGGCCAAATTTTGTTCACGTGACCATGGGATGCTATAACAGTCATCAGTGTGAGAAATGATCATGTCATTTTTTTCAGTATCGTCGTAACTTCAAACAATTACTAAAGGTTATAAGTCGAGCACTGCCTGTATATTGAGATAACTGAATGAGTTTATAAATGAATTTATATTTCTTTATAATTGGTTAAATTAAGAGAATATAAATTACTAATAAAAAGACCATTTAAAAAACAACTCATCAAGTGTTCTATTTGGAAATACATGTTTTCTGAAGTATATATATTCTGAAGTACAGTTTTGAAAACCGAAGACTTAGTGACTGATGACCTGCTGGATTTTTATTCCCAATATCAAATCCATAATATAATTCTTAAATGCTCCCTTATTTCACCAAATAAAACTTTCAGAGGTATATAAGAGTATTATGAGTTCTTTTTCTAATTTTTGTTTTGATTTTAATCTTGAAAATTTTGACAAGATATTGAAGCTCACATTTAGGAAATAAAAATCATTTTGGAAGAAATACTTATCTCCCTAAGATAACATATAACACATCTGATCATGCCAGAGCAGGAAACTTCTTATAAATATAAGAGGGCTACTTCAATAGAATAAACTATCTTGTCTCTGTATAGACTAAACGTTGTTTTTTGGTGCCTCATAAGTTTCCACTTCGTTTTCAGTCCTATGTTGAATGAAAATGCAAATGTTGCTGGTCTGGGGACCATGCCAACCGCAACACATCCTTCTGGTATTGGAATTCGAAAACCATGGCATGAAGATATTACTCAGGATCTCAGAAACCACCTTGTTCATAAACTGTATGTACTGATAAAATGTTAAGACATAAACAAATCTTACAAATAAGACAATTGATATAATGAGAGTGGTAAACATAGTATAACAAAGTATAAATTTGTAATGCTTTCTTACAGTGATGGTAGTTATTGATTTCTTTTTTACTTATGTAACTCTTGAAACTGTCTTTATAGCCTGTGGAACTAGATATAGGGCAAGAATCTAAAGTTAAGGCCATACATTTCTAATGAAAAGAGAAATTGATAAATAGTGTAAAAATTACTCATAATTTGCTGCTTTGTTAAGTGGATCCTATCATGGGGTAATAAGTTCTTTGATAAGGAGGCAGTCAGTGTCAGAAAATGTGACTCATATCTGGAAATCCATTTCTTTTACATTGCCTTAAACTAATTTTATGTTGTGAGCATTAAAAATTGAATTTCATTTCATTGAATTGCCACACATAAATATGTAAATATTCAGTAAGATATTTATTATTTCCAGGGCTAAAACATTGGTGCACAGAAACATTGTATAGTTGAAAATTTGTATCATTTTATATGCATGCACACCCTTCATGCTGTTTTCTTTCAATATAAGCAGTATTGTGCAAAGCAAATAAAATAAAATAAATAAATTGCAGAACTTACAGGAGGAACTTCAAAACAATTTTTAAAATTCTTTATACCTCCTTTCTTTTCTTTCATGCCAGCCTTGTTTCCACCATAGCAATACACCATACATTGCCTTTTGTTCTTGAAAGTTTTACCTGACTCTTTTTGAGACCTTATCAGCTTCAACTAACTACAATTTTCTTGATTTTGTCTTCCTTTATGACCAATTCATTTCAGTATATTGTTTTTTTATAACTTCCTTTTGTATTCAGTCCATTTTATTTTCAAATGTATAGTGTTTTTTTCTCTCAGTACATTTGGACTGTATACAGTCTTACTTGGCATTAAACCCGGTCACACTTCCCAAATTTTGCTCATTTTCACTTCCCTCCAAATCATAATTTTACCCAACACAATCCCACACTTTATAATAAATCTCACTGTGGATTTTGCATTCATTGTTGTATCTTCCCTTTGTATAAAGGAAATATAATACCGTTATTCCAATTGCCATATATATAGTCCTTGCATACATACTAAACAGGTTACATAGCCAACCTATCACAACCCTATAAACTCCTACTTTCATATATACCAATAATAGAAGCAGATCATCATAAAGAAAATATACAGTATCTGGTTGTTAAGAGCTGACATGAACTACATGGCACCTGATCAATCAATCTAAATTAAACCAATTTCTACCCTCTTTATGTCATATTTTAACTTTTCCATTCATAATTTAAACCATTATTCTTCAAGGTCTTAGATAATTAACATACCAAGTTTGGAGTTGTAACTCTGGAAAAAGTGGACAGGATCCTCAGATCTGTTAACTTAGCTACCTGTCTATTAGATCCTTACTCCTTGTGGCTCATAAAGACTGTTTGGAGGGGATTTAAAATTGCACCCATGCAGTAGTATTTATTTTGTTGAAGGAATAGGTAATTTTGGACATTACTGGAGTCAGTGGTTCTACACGATTTTTGTCCAGGCTCCATGGTATCCCCCAATCCTGTTTTATGAGCTGCGTTGGTTAACAGCAGGAGTCCGGATGCAATTCAAAACATCTGTTATTACCTTTAAAGCCATTTATGGTATAGGTCCTGGTTATCTCAATTTCTGCTATCCTGTATGATCAGGCAGAGTCAGCATGCTTCAAGTGCCGTCTATTGTACAGTGTTACCTGATGGGACCTAGGAAGCATGCCTTTCTATAACCTATACCTGCCATTGGAACAGCCCCATACTGATGATTCAGAGGCACTCTTAAAACCTGACGCTCCCCTCCAGCCTTTTGGCTATTGCGGGTGCAGTATTGTTGTGTTATATGGTTCTTTTTTAAAGCTTGGGGCGGGGATTTGTTTTATGGATGTCTGATCTTTAGTTTGTATTTTCTGAATTATTTTAATATTATATGTAGCCCATAGTGGCAGTAGAATTGAATGGCCTTATAAATATAATTATAAAATTCCCTCTATTCTGTATAAGCCGACAATTTTAATTTCAATATAGTATATCCTTTTCTTTTCTCCTAGATTATCATACACCATGGTTGTCAACTTTTGGGGTCATGGATACATGGCCCCAGATACTCCAATTGTGTTTTAAGTGTCTGTTGACTAAAATAAAATACATTGATAAAAAGCTATTATAACTTCAGTAATAATTAGAAATGTTTTGTTATTTTATTTATTATTCAGAATGTCTACAAATAAAATATATTGCAATATTTGCAAATGTTTATTCTGTCTGTAGAAAGTTATCTTAATTTTCCTTTGCTGAAAAATATAGCATCTCCTTTTTATAAGGAAGCTAAAAATAAACCAAGTAGATTTTTTTTAATGGGACACCCATTGGTCCCCAGGATTTAGGATTCTGTAGGGCCTATTTGATCTACATGGATGTGTGTAAAATAGCAGCTACTTGCAAGGCATGAGTATATCAGTGGCAAGAAAAAAGTGCCTCATCACTAGAGAAAATGGCAAGAAAGAAAAGTTTAGTATAGTTCCATTGGATTGGAGTTAATTCTTCCTTCCTATATTAGTTGGGAAATAAAGTTACTAGTTGCATGTCTAAGTTTGAAAATCAAATAATGATCTTAAGTTACAGGAATACACATTTCATAATTTCATTTCACATTTCATAAATAGGATATTTAAAACAGTTAAGTGAAGTAGAGAGTTTACTTTCACTATATGTTTGTGAGGAGAGGCTGGAAAGCCCTTTGTTGATAGTGCTTTAATTTGGATCCCTACATTAACCACAGATAATAGACTTGATGGTGGAAAACCAACAAGCAAAAAAAGCATACACAGAGATAGCTAGGAACAGCTTACAAAGTAACAAAGAAAGCTGGTTAAAGACATGGTTGCTGTAATGATTAAAAGAAAGGTACTTTGTCCATACTTCATTGTCAGTCATCTTTTTCAAACAAGTTTCCATAGCTCTAATTGCTAAAAATCTTTTGGGCCTAGACTTCAGCCGCTATGATCTACTGGCTCTTGTGGTAAACCGCTGAAAGAGTCAGCTATAATTTTCTATATAGCTACAGCATGAAAGCGACAAAGTAATTCCAGAAAACCAAGTCATCCAGTGCTGTTGATCTGGTAGGGCTGAAAAAGGTTGCATTGACTGTGCAGCAGTCAACACGATCTTTTGTGCCTGGCTGTATTCTGTGTTATATTGAATTATAGTTCCTGTTACTTCCAGGTAGCATGGGCAATGAAAGCTTTGATCAGGCACATTTTGGAGGGGTCCTGAGTCAAGGAAGGCTGTTCTGTTAGATATCCTTTATTTCCATATTACAAGAAGTTGTGCTGCTGTAATTTGGCAAGACTATTTTGTATTAAACTTAAATAAGGCTGGGTGTACAATCTTTCAGTAAGTTTTTTGTTGTTTGGAGGCCAACATAGCTGCAGAGTTCCTATATGCTTCTCCTTATTGCAGCATTGATAAGAATATAATAAGAACGATAAAATACTTGTTGGCTAAATAAATCCCTGCTCGCTCAGAGGTGGTATTCAGCAGATTCTGACCATTTCTGGAGAACCGGTAACGGAAATTTTGAGGAGTTTGGAGAACCGGCAAATACCATGCCTGACTGGAGATTTTACAATATTCTTCCCCTGCCCACTCACCAAGCCACGCCCACAGAACTGGTAGTAAAAAATGTGAATCCCACCACTGTGCTCGCTCCTATTTTAATATGGCTAAATTAAAATTACTTGAATTGCTTCTCTCCCTTCTTGGCGCTGATATTTTAGTTCATAATGGTATCATTTTCTGGATTTCTAAATATACTGGGAAACGCGAGATTGAATTTGGGTCAGTCACCTGGACCAAGTAATTTGTCTTCCGAATTTTTGGACTCATGCTGGAACCCATCTTCAGGGAACTCCTCTCTACTGGAATACGTGCTTTGGGCTGTTCTGTGTTTATGTGGTGCCTTCCTATTGGTGGCTGTTGTTTTCTTGTGCTTCCAAGCCCTCAGCTCTTAAGCCAATAGAGAGAAGCTCCCTGAAGATGGCTCCAGCATGAGTCAAAAAACTTGGAAAAGTAAATCTCTGGTTCTGGTGACCGCAAATTCTATCTCGCATCATTATCCTGGGACACTTATATTTGTCTTCATACTGGGAAGTGTTAAGGATTGTTTTGATTTATCAGCCAGCCAACTACTTTTTATTCCTAAAGGAAATATGACTGCCATTTTGAAGTGGAACATGATGGTATTATGTAATACAAAGTTTCAAAAATTTTGGTTTACTTGCTTATGAAACAGTAGGTAGTTATTTGATTTGAGGATCCAGGTTTATTTTTCCCCCTTATATTCCTCTAGAGTACAAGCCATATTTCCAACTCCTGACCCTGCAGCACTGAAAGATAGGCGTATGGCAAATCTTGTCTCCTATGCTCGGAAAGTTGAAGGGGACATGTATGAATCTGCAAATAGCAGGGTATGTTATTTTCTGGAGTCCTATTTCTGTCACATTTCTAAACAGCTCATCCTTATATTTTTCTATGTATATACTGCTAATTTTGTGAGATGTGTATAGAACAAAGAATATAGACTACTTCAGTGATACCAGTGAATCATTATGTGTATATAGTTGGATTGCAAAGTCAATTACAGTCATTTAAACTCATTTTTTTGTGTGTTCAAGAAACTAAATTTGAGACCAAACTAGTATAGGTGAATGTAATTTTCATGGTTCTTTAACATAATTGGATAGATCCTAACAGTGAGGATCAAACTGCTACTCATTCCTGTTGTATGATATTGCATTAGACACAGTGTTGCAGATTTGCCTTCAAATGAAGATTAAAATCAAATGAATTTTGTGTATGATGTTTTATATGGCCTTGAGGATACATATAATATCAAACCTCATATTACACTCCTGACAGGACTACAGTCTAATGTCTCGGTTTGTAATGCAGACTTCTGATGGCAATAGAGGGAAACCTGATTATCTTGGAGCCTTGGCACTTACTATAGTCTAACTTGGTATTCTTAGCTCCACCTACCTACCCAAACAATCCACATCACTACATTGTTTAGCTTTCTATATGCAGAACATGAATTACAGTGATAGCTCTTTTACTAGAGTTGAATAAACATCAAATTCTAAAAGAGTAAAATCCATATTGCATAACTGGAAATTTAAAATTAGCAAATATGCGTCATGTATCATTAATCTTTATTTAATATACATATCTTTCCCATTACAGGCAGAGTACTATCACTTATTAGCTGAGAAAATTTATAAAATCCAGAAGGAATTGGAGGAAAAGAGAAGGACCAGATTGCAGAGGCAAAATATGATACCAAATGCCCCAGTCATGCCACCAGCTCCTATGAGTCAAGGGCCCATGGGGCAGCCACAGCCTGGAATGACAGCAAGTAAGTATTTACATTAACCTGTGTAATTAATATTTGGGAAATCTGATACTTAGCCAGCAAATGATATCTTAGAAGTGGGCTCATCAGCTTATTTAGAATTTATAAATGTCATACCGGTAGTTATTCTAATAAAAATGGATACAGTGGTGCCATGATAGGAGAGGCAAATAAGAAAAATATCTTAATGGTAAATGTCTGAAGAAATTCCTTCTTAAGCGTAGATTTTTTTTTTTTTTAGGAGATGGGCATACTTTCTGCTTGAGTATCATGCTGCAGTATCCAAAAGCATTTTTGTAAATGAAAATAAAGCTTGAGGCTGGTAGTTTTAATTTATAGCATGCCATCATGTATATTATTAGGAGGAAACTGACAGTAGATAAGGCCCCACTTAAAACAGAGCACATACAGATAGTTTAATATAAATTTTTCCAATCTGCAAAATTCACTAAATATGCTGACATAATTAATTTTTCCCCATCAGCCAATTTCATTTGCTTTGTTACCAAGGCTAGAAAGTAATGCTCTCTTGACAATTTCCATGTGGAACAAGTTAACAAAAATGATTGGTGGATTTCCTACAGTAGGAAAAAATTCACTAATTGCTCTCTATAACATGGGCTGGCACTGAGGGGAAAGAGTCAGATTTTGAAGATGTTTAGGTTTAGTAAGCTATCAGAATTTGATCTGTAGGACAGATGGGGATTTTCTATCTTTCCTGCTTTACATTCCTATTGTTTCCTTTCTATTGCTCACACCAGCACTTTCTTACTTACAAGGCTTGCTTGTTTTTCTCATCTGGTAAACACTGAGCAAAAATTACACACTGGTACCTGGTTTCTCCTTTCTAAGCCAAGATGGCCATACAGAAAAATCACCAGTATCAGAAGGGAGGTGGCTTAAAACAATAAAATGAAAAATAAAAAAGTAAACATAACAATAGCAAAGGAATAAAACAATAATGTACAATAATATGGTATTTTTAAAAATGGGCTGAGGGGGACCATGAAGTGGAGGGGGGCGGCGGTGTCAGCTAATTAATCCAATAGCTACCTCCAGTGATGTTCTCCCCAGTAGGACCCCAAACATGAGATCATGTATATAAAGAATCATTTACCAAGTATCCCTAATTGGAGGGACATGTGAATGAGCCCTTATAAAGTACCTAGGATTTGTGAAAAAATATTAATATAATTTTTGGGATTTTATCTGCATTACAGATGGTCCTCTTCCTGACCCAAACATGATTCGTTCCAATGTGCCAAATCAAATGGTAAATCGCATGCAAACACCACCAGGTGAGACTTTAGGGACATTTATCATTAGATTCAGGAAATTTTGTATTTAGGTTGTGTAGTTGTTCTGTTCTAATAATTTCTTATTACCCTGATTGGATTTCCACATTCAGTATTTTAGTTCTGGAATATATTTACTCTTGTTTTATCACTTTATACTTTTTCTCAATAAATAGATCATGTATCTCTGTCCTATTATTGCTTTTCCTTAGTGACACAATCCACTGGCATTACACTTTCAGTATAACCAAGTAGAGCAAGTTTTCCTTGTCCTTCGATGAATGTTCTAGGCAAAGTAGTTTCCTTTATCCCAAAGGGGCATATACCATACATCTTTGTCCTTTTTATCAAGCAATTGTCAACATTTTTGCAAATTTTAATTTTTAACCCATCTTTTTCTGTTTTGGGGGGATTTTGAGGTCTTCCTAATGGAAACAATATATGGCTTTATTTAAGCCACCATTAGTAATTACACATAGGCTCTTGCTTTGTTCTTTTTATCTTTGTATTTTTATATTAGCCTCTAGCTGTATTACAAAATACCTATACTAAAGGGCTTCTCACTCAAATAGCACAATAAAGCCTTTGCTTCAGTTTAGGTTAAAGCTTCATACATGCAGCTTTTTAAAAATCATTCCTTTCCATTGTTTTCTTCAAATTTATCAAGTCAAAGCCTTTTCTAAATGATTATTTATTGATTGCTGATATTTAATTATTTATTTTATTCATCCATCCATTGTTTTCTCCTTATTTTCTCACTAGTATTGAGTTGTTCCAACAGCTCTTTCTTTTTTATACCTTTTTAAAAAAATGTATAGCACATCAATGTACTAATGAACACTGTAAATTTTTATTTAAACATAAACAGGAATGAATCAGTTTGGCCCAATAACCATGTCAATGCCATCAGTTGGACCCCGACAAACCCCTCCCCTTCCACACCCTGGACAGCTAAACCAGCCTGGGAATATAAATCAGGTTGGTTGATTCTTCTATCTGTTACTAGTTTTGATTTCTATGTTTTCGGATGAATTAGCTGGTAAAGTTAAGTCTTCTGTCTAAATGTGGTGTTTTGTCCATATTTTAATTAGTTCTGTTTTGAATTTGTTTAAGTCATACATGCATTCTTTGGAGAATTGATTTATTGAGTGGTGGAAAATCTATAGATAGTCACATAAATATTTATTACAATCTAGAAGGGGATATTTTAAAACATCAGTTTTATTAGAATGTTAGGTAATATGAAAATTAATGGCATTATATAGTATTTCTATTAATTGATGTTTTCTTATAGATTGGATTTTCCCCACGTATGCAACCGCAAGGGGTTGGTCAGTCTTCTGGTCAAAGTCAATTTGTACCACAGAATCAATTTCCTGCATTGTCCCCTGGAATGAATCCGGCTAGCACACCTATGACTCAACCTGCCAATCAGACTCCAGTTTCTCAAGTATGTATTGAGAAGATATTTTAATAACCTCTTTGATTACAGACATATTGATAGCTAATGTAGATAAATGAAATGTACAAAATGGAAACAAGATTCTTCAGATAAGCTTGGCAGTGGCATTGTCAGTTTTCTTTTTATTTGTAATTTTTTTTATTTGTCTTTGCTGAATTCTTTCTATCTTTTCCCCCCCTTTTCATCTTAATTAATTGACTATAGCTTGTTTTTCTATGAGTGTGGGGAGCAATAGGCCAGGGTTATGCTCATTTCCCAGAAGGGATTACCTGAAAGTCCAATTGCTGTTGCTTTCTCAAAGTCTGGTTTTTGTGATAATAGCTGAAGGAGGGATGACAAGCTTTTAGTCCTTATGAGTGAATTTGGACTCCAAACCTCCAAATACAGTATATTCAGAACCTTTTTTTTTAAATTTGCAGGCACAAATGACCAATTCTTCCTGTCCTGTAACATCTCCAGCAGTGGCTCCTGGCTCTCAGGGGGGTCATATTCATTGTCCCCCCATTCCACAGTCTGCATTGCATCGTAACTCCCCTTCTCCAGTACCAAGTCGTACTCCTACACCTCATCATACACCCCCAGGATTGGTTTCCCAACAGCAGCAGCAGCAGCAACAACAGCAACAGCAACAGCCACCTGCACCACAACAGGCAACTATTGCCTCTGCCCCTGCTGCTGTTTCTCAAATACCACCTTCTGGGCCCCAGTCACAAACTATGCACCCCTCTCAGAGGCAGACTCCAACACCCCCACAGGCTCAGTTGACTCCTCAGCTGCAACCTCCAGTTTCTGTTACCTCTTCTGCAGAGCAGCAGTTGCCACAGCAACCTCTTTCACAACAGAGCACAACTGCATCTGTACCCACCCCAACAGCGACACTGCAAACTCAACACCCTACAACACCTGTAAGAAAACTTTTACTCTTCTAATGCTATTATTTTTCAAAACTGCAAATCCAAACAAAAAACCTTTGGAGTGTACATGTCATGAGGGAATAATACTTGAACTGTAGTAAATGTTGAAACTTGCCCTTTTTTCTCGTCAATGGTGTTTTAGTGGAATTTAATAATATGAAACACAATTTCATCAGCTTAATTCTAATGACCCATGTTTGAAGAAATAAACAGCTGTAAAATAATGGGATGCTTCCATGATAGACAAGTATAAGCTAATGTTAAATTTATTGTACAGCATCTCTTTTGTTCAGGTAGAAAGCGATGCAAGAGCTAACATAATTTAAAAACACAAAAGAAAGCAAAAAATAAATTTAGTAAAGTCATGTGGCTTCACTCTTTATAATCTGGTTTTATTGGGGTTTTTTTCTTTTCTAGCTTTCACAGCCTGGTGCAAATATTGATGGGCAGGTATCAAATCCACCATCCACCAGCAGTGCAGATGTAAACATTCAGCAAGCTGCCCCTGAGCAGCAGCAACAGCAGCAAACTTTACCTGAAAGTAAAAAGGAGGTTAAAATGGAAGAGGAGGACTCTGAACACACAGATCATCAAATAGATGAGAAACCAGAGGTGACTAAAGGATGATAAAGTTAGGCATATCTGGAAATCAGTAGTTTGGAAGAGGATGCTTTACTAATTCCACCGTTCTGACTAGTTGGCTAAGAAATAGAACTAAAATGCTTTATAAACTGAAAAACTCAATGGGCAGGTTTTCTTTGTGTCTCTTGCTGACGTTAGGTCCAATACCAGCAACAGGATCATGAATACTTATATAGATACATTGAAATAAAAACATGCCATCATACAGGAAAGTGAGTTTCTCCTTTTAATATAACCTGATTCTGTATTCAGAATATGAAAGTCTTGAAAAAGTACTTTAGTCAAGGAGAACAAATGAAAAATAATGAAGAGATAATGGTGATCTAACTAAATTTAGATTATCTACAATATTGGGTAGATCAAAAGGTTATATCTTGATACTTTGGATTTCATGTTTCATCAGCCATAGTGACTATAGCCAACGGCAATTATTGTAATCCAGAATATATCGGAGATACAATTCTGCACATCTCTTAGCCTACATGCACTATAAGGCTGCATTTGATTGTGGCCAGATCTGTGCATGTATCATGGCCATACATGTAATTTATGTGTTTTATATGCCCTTTCCTATAGATTCAGAGGGAATATATTTCTATCAATATTGACAATACAAAAATATCGATACAGAAGAGAATATCTTAAACTGATACAATATACATGTAATGTTAAATTTACCTACTGTTTTTCAGATTAAAGTAGAACCCTTAGCAGATGAATGTAAATCTGAACCAATGCAACAGGAGGAAAAGAAACCAGAAATGAAGCAAGAAGTAAAGGAAGAAGAGGAAAGGCCTAGTACTCCAGGTACCCAGTCTTCACCAGCTTCTGGACAGTCAAAGAGAAAAAGTAAGTCAATTTGGGGGTTTTTTGGCCATCATCATATGGAGGCAAAGTCATTTTCTTAAACTGAGATTTGAATTTATGTTTAACATTTTGGTATCAGAAATGCTTTTTCAGAAATGTCTTATCGGTTAGAAGAAATATCTATGAAATACAGCTGTTTAATATTAGAAAAACAGAATACATTGTAGAAATTAACCTTACAATAATCCTAGTCCTAATATCGAAGTCTAGATTGATAAATTCTGTCCAACATTGGAAACTGAATACTGACACTGCACTTAAAGGATTGTTTGGATCTTAAAATAGGTAACTAATCTGGTTGGTATGTTGCCTTCAATCTTCCATAACTTTTTTCAAAGTTTTCAAGCCAGAAGAGTTGAGACAGGCACTTATGCCAACTTTGGAGGCACTGTATCGCCAGGACCCAGAATCCCTTCCTTTCCGGCAGCCTGTGGATCCTCAACTATTAGGAATTCCTGTAAGTGCATTTTTAAAAAATTCTTCTTGTCTTAACATGTCTTTATATTGCCTTGCTTAATTCTAAATGGGATTGGAATTTCCATCATTAATCAATGCATTCATTAGGCAAAACATTGCTTAGCAGTGGCAATTTTGGTAGTCGCAGTTGCCGTGCTTCTCCTGCCCTGCCACTCTGACCTCCACTTCAAATTCCTCCACATGCCTATTACTTCTGATCTGTGTCCTTTTGATCACCTGCATTCCACCACTGCCCACTGCCTTCATGAGGCAGCTGGTGGTCATATTCAGCCTTCCTGCAGACTCATGTGGCCAGCAGCTGTCTTGCAAAGCACCTGGCTGGGGGTTCTTCATCAACAGTAAGAGGAAGAAGACAGTGAAGCTCAGCTGGGGTAATGAGATGCAGGACGGCAGGGACAGTGGAGGGCAAGTGGCCAAAAGGGCACAGATATGTAGGCTGAGATAGGTGGGTGGAGGAATTTGAAGCACAGCCTATGGTCATAAGATCATCCTGTGGTAGTAAAGGTAGGTGGGCTGTCAAGTGCCCAAATTTTGAACACATGACTGTGAGGATACCAGCTGTAACTTTGATAACTGATTGCCAACATCGTTAATAGAGTTGCAAGCCCAAAAAGAATATGCAATGCTGGCACTTCCTTGAGGTTTTGGGATGGGCTTGTTTGGCTGAGGAATGAGGTATTGATATTTATTTTATTCAATTTATATTGTCACCTGCTTGATAAGTAATTGGGCAGGTAATAAAGGATTTAAAAGATCAAAATACATGTTAAAAGCCCAGGCATGGCACCAGAGACAGTAACTCACATACTTCACATGAAAGCAAGTTCATATTGCACCCTGGCCCAGTGCCAGCGAGAAGAACCAAGTCTTCAAAGCCTTCAAAATTAATACGGTCAAGAGCATCCAGATTTTAGAAGTAGGTGCAGCTGCTGCTCCAAGATAAGACATACCTCCTGGATCCCATAAAGTGACACTGTAGAGTAGGTGGAACCTGCTTCATGCCAACCTTATCTGATCTTGTTGAAATAGCAGAGATACAGGTAATCCTCAACTTTTGATCACAATTGAGCCCCAAATGTCTGTTGTTGAGACATTTGTTAAGTGAGTTTTGCCCCATTTTACAACCTTTCTTGCCACTGTTAAGTGAATCACTGCAGTTGGTAACTTAGTAACCTGGTTGTTAGGTGAATCACATTTTTCAGTGCCCTTGTAACTTTGAACAGTCACTAAATGAATTGTTGTAAGTTTAGAACTACCCATAATTGGAGAGAGACAGTCCCACAAATATTCAGGCCTTGTGCCATGTAGAGTTTTATGGTAATTATTTATGCTGCTTGATCTGGATTAGCTGTAGCTTCTTAGTGGACCTCAAGGACAACCCAGTGTACAGTGCTTTGAATTGTCCAATGACAAGTTAAAGGGGGGGAATGTCCAATATTTGGATTGAAGATTCAAAAGCATAATTTATTGATGTCTTGGCAGGATTACTTTGATATAGTAAGGAACCCCATGGATCTTTCTACTATCAAGAGAAAGCTTGATACAGGACAGTACCAGGAACCTTGGCAATATGTGGATGATATTTGGCTTATGTTCAATAATGCCTGGCTTTACAATCGTAAAACATCTAGAGTGTACAAGTACTGCTCCAAGTTGGCAGAGGTTTTTGAGCAAGAAATTGATCCAGTTATGCAGAGCCTCGGCTACTGCTGTGGAAGAAAGGTAAGGAAGGAACTATGGTAATAGGTGAGAAAATTATTAAGATAACTGAATACCTAGTTCTAAGAATTGTGCTTATATTGATTGTAAATATAAATATCCAGATGTGAAGTAGCATTCTGCAAATGTCTCTTTCCTATAACTGTTTTTATCTTCAGCTTTTTACAATGTTGAAAAGTGAATTTTAAAAAGTTTATCTTACAACTTATAACAATTATAACTTGAATATTGTTCAGTAACCATAAGATTAAATTATTGTAAAGTAGTAATTAAATATGGTTATGGACAGTACTCAAGTCCATATACTCAGTACACAATACAATATTTAAGTAAAATTGGGTAACAACACTTAATAAGTAAACAAAAGAATATTTTAAAGGAAATTTAAATTGTATTCTGTACCAGAGAATTGATTTCCCTGGAAATGAATATCCCACGTGTTCTTGGAAATCTTGTAATGGGACAAGATTTCTAGGTGAAAAAATAACGGATTTCTATTCAATAAAATGTAATCCTGGGAATTAAGTACTTAAGTAACCCTCAATTTATAAGCACAAGTGAGCCCAATTTGTTGTTGCTAGCCAAAGCAATTGTTAAGTGAGTTTTGTCTCATTTTATGAGCTTTTTTTGCCACAGTTGTTAAATGAATCACTGTAGTTGTAAAGTGAATTGTGTGAATCATTAAGTGAATCTGGCTTCTCCCATTGACTTTGCTTGTCAGAAGCCAGCTGGGAAGGTTATAAATGGTGATTATATTACCCTGGGATGGCGCAATGGTCATAAGTACATAACAGGCACCCAAATTTGGATCACATGACCATGAAAATGCAACGGTTGTAACTGTAGAAACTAGTCATAAATCACATTTTTCAGTTCCATTGTAACTTTGAACAGTCATTAAACAAATTATTTAAGTCAAGGACTATGTTGTGAATCCTCATCAGGTTTGTATTGATGGCAGAAATCATTTGTAAATGTAGACAGTGTTGGTTTTAATCCACCAAAAGAATTTCTTAGGCAGTAAATTTTCACTGCATCAACACCCAGTTGTATCTGCACAAATGCTTAAAAATATAAAACTGGTTTTCGTCATTTGTTAACCACACAGCCGTCGAAGATTTATGAGCCTACGCAGAGCATCACTCAAAATCTTCCAAAGCAATTTGGTTGAAGCAGTTTGATGCAAAACAATGCTCCCCTTTGTATTTGTCCTACTGGGTGTGGTCTGTGTCTTCCCACTTAATTTCAGTCTGCAATACTACTTGATATTCTTATAAATTTCATATGTTAGTAAGCAACCTGTCCCTCTCGTTGCAGTTGGAATTTTCACCACAAACTTTATGTTGTTATGGCAAGCAATTATGCACAATTCCACGAGATGCTACATATTACAGTTATCAAAACAGGTAAGAAAATAATAATGTACCTACTCACTGTTTTTTGCTTAAACTTTTCTGTTTAAATCATTGTCACATTAACAGCAGCAAAATGAATCTGTGTGGTTTAAAAAATAAATTGAAAGTAGATGCTTATTATGTCACAGTTCAGTTTTCATAACTAAGACATAACTAATGTATGTCAAATACTGTTGCTTAACAACTGGATTAGTTCAAGGTCCACCTGGTTTGGAGTTCCAGCAAACACAAGATGTTGTATACTCTACTGATGCGCCTTCAGTAATATGTGTGTATGAATGAGTGTGTATGTGTATATGTCTATTGCGATGATTTAATCTTTTTGGATATGCAAGAGATAAAGATTTTCTCTTCCGTTAAACCAAAGGATTGTCATCTGTTTTGGGTTTCTTCGAGAAGTGATGAATTTTGTTTCAAACACAAAAAATATTTAATGTATTTTTGCAGCTATATACTTTCAGTTAATATGTCAGTTTTTTTACTTCAAGGAAAAGTTATTTTTTAACTTTTAATCTGCATGCCATATTCAGATTGTTACTTGTAATAAAGAGTTGCTGTTCAAAGCCAAAATCTTTTTAGTAAATGGCACCATGTCTTGATTTTCTGAATGCCCAAGCTGATAATATAGCATTACCAATGTATATGATTTCCTTTTATTACACACTAGAAGAAAAGCAGTGGGAAAGTGACTTGTATGATTCATTCCTTAGCAATTACAGATGTGATAGTGTTGTTTTTATTTTGCTTTAAAATATTGTCACAATTTTGGAGGGTTTGTGTAGTTGTTTTGGTTTTGGTTTTCTTTTGTGTTTGTGCGCCCTTCCTGAAGCAATAGAGAGACAGCAGTTTCTATACGCTCTTGAGCGTAGTTCAAACCCAAATCAAATGAAGATGGAATCCTCTTAATACAACAGCTATTCCAGACACCCAAATTTATGGACTTCACCTGTTAAGAATGTACAATATGCAGCTGCTTGCTATTGCATCTAACATTTCAACAAATCATGAATAATTGGATAAAAATTATTCAAATAACTCCTATAAAGAGTTATTGCAAACAAATATTTAAGTATATGCTCCATAAACATTTAAGCATTTTCAGGATAGTTTATTTTCATGCCTATCCTGCTCTTTCATATTAGATGTGAAGAAAGTTGCTAACTTGATGCAGCTGCGAAGCAGCAGTTGCACTTCTTTTTTCTTCATTTTGATTGGTAATTGAGCATGGGTATACTTAACCAAATACATTTTGTTTGCTATAATTTGCTGCTTGTAATCCCATTTGAGAGATTTAATGCTAATCTGTGCTTTGCCTTGGCTTTCTGCTTTGTGTTGTCCTGTCTTGCTTCTGTGTTTTTGTTTTTTGTCCTGAAAATCCCATTTCTTTGTTTGTATGTATATTTTTATTTCTCCTTCATGCTTGTCGTTGTCTGCACTTGGCTTTGATTGCAAAAAAACAACCCAAAACAAAAACAAAAACAAAAAAAACAAAACAACCAATATCAAACTCTGGGTCCCATAAATCTTCATCATTGAATGTCCCTGTCGTCGTTGATGACCTGCTCTCTGCTCCCGTCCCCCTCCTTGGCCTGCTGTGATTGGTGACTTCGTTGCTTGGCTTGGGCTGTGTTGTGTGGACGGAACAGTTCACCCAAATATGGCCTTCTTGCCGACAGGTATCATTTCTGTGAGAAGTGCTTCAACGAAATCCAAGGGGAAAGCGTTTCTTTGGGGGATGATCCATCACAACCACAAACGTGAGTAATTGTGTCCTCTTTTAATAATATTTAACTCTCAGAAGTTACAATTATGTTATTAGCAAACCTATCAGGATGTACTTCCTATATCTTTTTGAAAAAGCCATGTTTCAGTAAAAAGTTTTACTTGAAAAGATAAACCTCAAAGTGAGAGATTTGAGAACAAATTCTTACTTCAGATCAAGGTGGAATAATTAACAATGTTTTATTAAATATATATGGAAAGTGCAGAAATACTTCTAATACTAAAGCTTTTAATTCTATAACTGTAAAATGATTTTGCTGTACAAAATGGTTCATAATAAAGCCACAAAGTTAAAAAAAAAAAAGCTTAGATATGGAATAATTATATAATTATATTTTGTTTAAATTATCTCATTTTTAAATACTGATCTACAAGTTCTTATAGTTTCAAGTGCTATATTTCTACTCGTTTTGTCCTAATAAATTCCTCCGTTACTGAGCAATGTTTAGCGAAGCAGTAGTATCAATATTTCTAGTGTACTATGAATTTTCCATAGGTGGTGTCTTGAAATAACTATATTTTGGCAATATTACATTTATAAAACAATCAAAATAAAAATATAATGCTACAATAAACTCTAAATGTTAAGAAATGATGGGATTGTAAATTCTTTAATCCTTTTTTTATTTTACTGGGGAAAATGAAAACAGCTGAAATAAATATTTATCAAGGTGTATATTTCTCTTCCAACAAATGAATTATTTCTTTATATAATTTTTTAGTTCATAGAAAGTGCTAAAACTCTTATCACTGTGTTCCTAAAAGCTATTTTATTACACTTTTGTAACTATACCAAATTTAGCAGACATAATTGTAAACTAGGTTGTATTCTGAAATGGTAAATATTTTCCAGAAAGAGTTTACCAATGTCAAAAGGTGATAGGAAACTAACCAGACAATCATGCTGAGGCAACAATTATGTAATCTGAGTTTACTGCCTTCTAAAATTCCTGATTTTGGAGGAACTTATCTGTTAGAAAGGATTTGCAACATTTTTTCATGTAGCTTTTATTTTAGGCCATAGAAGTTAAGCCACTGGTTCAAATTGTGCTTGTTATTAGTTAGCTTTCTAGTCTTACAGTTTATAATGATTTATATGTGACCTTAATCATGAGAAATTCTGGATCAGCTGGAATTTCTGAACCTCACACAATTACCTTGTACTAATGTGTAAATTTTTTTAAAAAGTATAAATTATGGCATTCTTGGCTTTTTTTTATATAAGAAATTATCTTGAGTTGTGTATGGGTAACTGTGTCCTGACTTCTCTATCAAGAAATGAGATGTGATAAAGAAGCCTGATTGATGTAACCAGTAGGTTGTGTTAAGCAACTGAACATGTTTGAAAATGAGTGTATTCTATATCTCCTGTATGACCCTCTGCCAGCCATGAGATAGGTAGTTTACAAATATAGGTGGTTTTTATGCCTTATTAGGAAGAAAAATTCTGGAGTTTCTTGTCAGATTGTTAAATGATGTGAGTACCTTCTCAGGTCGGAACCAGTGTCTAAATCCACCAGTTGTTTCTTTGAAAGTATTAGCTTGGGATACTATTATCATCTTGTTCAATTCACGCCTTTCCTTTATTCCCAAAACATTCTTAAAAAGTGGTATGTTTGAAGATCCTACATACTTAAATGTCAATGTGTCTGCTGCAGATCTAAAACTGTTTTATTATGTTAATGTCCATCTTCATACAACTAAAATTGTCCATTTCTCTCCTCAGCACAATAAATAAAGATCAGTTTTCAAAAAGAAAAAATGATACACTGGATCCAGAACAGTAAGTGATACTGGAGCAGCTAAATTTGTATCTTGAGAACAAACAAATTTGTTACCAATTTGTTATTGTTTATTTTTGCTTTGGGACTGAAAAATATTGATTGCTTTATTTGATAATACAGGTAGTCCTCGGTTAATGACTGACCTATTTAGTGACTGATCAAAGTTACAGCAGTTTGAACACTTGGTCTTCAAACTTAAAGCCATTGCAATGTCCTGCACTTATATGATCGCCATTTGGACACTTTGTAGTCTGTACAAATTTATAACCCATTTCACCATCCTATATGAACTTCATAGCTGGCTTGTGACAAGCAATTAATAGAGAAATCAGCATTAAAATCCCAAGTTGTGGTCATGTGTCACCAACCATGGGTTATTTGTTTAATTACAAAGTAACTGACATAAATCTGGCATGGTAATATTTTCTTAACTATTAACATCTTTTAGCAATGGCGTTTCCAGTCCCAATACTTATTAAGTGAGGATCCATTTTTGAAACTTTCCTTTCATCATAAACATTTAACTAGTTTTTCTAAAAATACTCATTCATCTTTCCCTCTCCTCTTATATATGTAAATATATGTAAATATAAATATATGTAAATAGGTAGAAAACATACTATATAAAGCTATGTTGGAGCCTGAGGTACTTTTCCCCCCCCCCCTTTTTTTTGGATTTTTATTTTTAAATCTACATCAACATCAATACATGAACAGTGTGGCATCTGGGTATCATTCATTTTGATACAAGTAGCAATATTAATATTTGTTACATTAGTCAAATGTATGTAATCCTAGTATTAATATGCATGTTTGTTTTAAAGTAGTTATTCAATATTTCAATGTTCCATTTTAATGCCAATCACAATATTATTTGAGCATAGTTAATGCTCAACCTCTAATCTTTCCATCTAGTTATTGCTTTTATTATATTAAAAATATGTATGCTAATATTCCCTGTTTCCTATTTCTACATCTATTCTAGCTTCTAGTCAGGCCACCATAATTAATCCTAATGTTAATACATCTGTTTATATTAAGATATAGTCCATATTATTTAGTTATTCAATGTTTCAATATGCCATTCTAGTGCCAATCACCATATTGTTTAAGCATACATAATAATACCATCTTTCAACTTCTAATCTTTCCATCTAGCTATTGCTTTATATAAAAGTGTATATTCTTATTTCTACCTCTATTCTAGTTTTTAAACAGGCTATCATTAGAAAAAAAAATTCCTTTCTATCCTTCATCTCTTGTCCATTTTAATACAATTCTTACTCATTTTTTAGCTTGCTGAGGTACTTTTTTTTTAATGGCACAGTGTAGAATTCATTTCTCAAATCTCTTAGTATGTGTGAGAAAACATTTCAGTTTTAAATGATATTTTGTACTTCAAGATACTTTTTATATGTTTTTGATTAAAGTTACATATACAGAACTCTATAGGTTTAAAGAACAAATAGATTTTGTCACATTGCATTATTCCTGAAACATTTTAAAATAACTTTCAGCTGTTTTTTTAGTGCTTATGACTCTTTTCTGTTCTAGATTTGTTGAATGCATTGAATGTGGAAGAAAGATGCATCAGATTTGTGTACTTCACAATGAAATAATCTGGCCATCTGGGTATGCTGCTTTTCCTTTTGTGTTTATTTACAATTGTAAAAAATTACAAATGATATTTGAAAAAGATGCTAATGGTAAAGTTTATTGTAGTTCCATGTTTCTTTGATAACTCTCTAAATAGATTAACAAAGTTTTGATGTGATTTTATTTATTTAAAACTTTAATATAGCTGCCTTCTTACAGCAAACTCTGGGCAGTACCCAACCAAAAATTAAAACAACATCAATAATAAAACCACATAATGTATGTATCTATTAAAGCCATAAACAAAAAATCTGGTTCCAAAATTAAGTTTCACCATTGGGTCCTTTGATAAATCCTCTTATCCAGCGATCACCAACCGGTGGGCTGTGGCCCACTGGTGGGCTGTGAGAAAATTTTGGTGGGCCGCAGAGAAATCTCACCCCCAAAGCACCCCCCCAAAGCAATTAATCCAGGCTGCGCAGAAACATAAGGCTGCGCCGCCCACATGGCCCGTGGGAACCCTCCCCGCCCACTCACTCCTTACCCGACAAACTTGCCTGCTAAATTGCTATTTTTCCTTTTTCCAACCATCAGGTGTTCTGCTGTGCCGGGAGATTTAGATTAGCTAGGAAGCAGGAAATGGTTGGATTTCTTGCTTTCTAGCTAATCTTTAGATCTTCGGCTCTGCTTTTAAGTACAGCCAAACCTCCCTTAGGACTGAAGGTTATATTGTTCAGTGCAGACTCACAGCAAGCAAATTTGAGAGACTGAGCTAGCCGATGGCAGATAGATAGATCACTGAATGATTCTGTGAGCAACTCAATCTGCCTGCCTGCTTTGCCTGATTTTGGGTAAAAATTGTTCTTTTTAAATAAAAAAATTCAATGTTTATATAAATATAATATGTATATACAAGCCTTGCCCAGCCAGTCACATGACCACCAAACCACACCCACAAATCAGGCCATGCCCACAGAACCAGTTAGTGGTCCCTGAAATTTCAATTATGAGCTTGATGGTCCCTGAGGTCCAAAAGGTTGGCGACTCCTGCTCTTATCTACTTCACCCTGTCCCAAAATCTGAGTGAATAGTCAGGTGTTTAATGCTTTTTGGAAAGGAGGGAAGTCCCTGCCAAACTTCAAGGGGAAAGGTTTTTCATAGGGCAGGGGCTGCCATGGAAAAGACACACTTCCTAGACCCCATAAAATGCTATTGTTTAAGGGAAGGGGCTAGGGGCTAGAAGTGTGCTCACACTATTTGATCTGTTAGAATGGGTAGATGTCCTTAGGGAGAGACAGTCACACTGATAACCTGGTCTATGCCATATGGGGCTTTAAAGGTAACCAACACCTTGAATTGTATTCAGAAGGAAACCAGGAACCAGTGCAGCTTGCACAGCAAAGAAGCACCTATTATTGTGTGTGTAACAACATTCTGGACCAGTTGTAACTTTCAACTGATCTTCAAACTGCAACCCTAAGTAGAGTACATTGCAATAATCCAAACAGAAACTGACCAAGGCATGAGTGAGCGACCATGAGCAAGATATTAGTATGGATATTTAATTTAGTTTTAGTTTCCATGCACAATTTCTTTAAAATTCCAGTGAGGACAAGGTGTGTCCAACCTGGCATTTCATGAGGCAGTTGCTGTATCTACACTAGGTATTGCAAGGAAATTCCCATGCACAGTCTGGGGAAGAAAGCCCTATAGTGCCAGCAGCTGCTTTGCAAAGGGCCTGGCCAGACAAGCTTGATCAATAGCAGAGTCAAGAAGTTGGCAAAGATCAGCTAAAGCAGCAAGGCCCTTGGTGTGCAGCGGGCCAAAACAACATAGATGAGAGGGTGATGTGGGGGAGCGTTGAAGTGCCCCTGTGGTGGTAAGTGTAGGTGGGCTGCAACAATTGTTGATCAAGTGACTACGGGGGCACTGCAGTGGTTATAACTTCAGGGACTAGTTGTAAGTCTCTTTGTTCAGCCTCACTGTAACTTCAAACAGTTGTTGAACGAATAGTCGTTATGCCAATGACAACCTGTAATGATGATATTACTATACCAAGTGAAATCTGATGTTCTGCTCAGATTGTGATATACAGCAAGTCTAATTTAGGCTGTTCAGTAACAGTTTGCAATCCATGTTTAATAATTAGTATATACTAGAAAATGCAGAAGAGATATTTTTATAGAAATATTTTAATAATTACGTTAGGAATTTAAATTATTTTCTTCTGTTGTAGCTTTGTCTGTGATGGCTGCCTAAAAAAATCAGGACGAACTCGAAGAGAGAACAAATTTTCTGCCAGAAGTAAGTAGATTGGTGCATTTCTCATATTTATTTCTATTTGCTTTTTTAAATAGATTTTAAAATGTTTTATTCCTTCTATTAATGCCAAAGCAGTTTAAAGATAAAAAATGATAATGAAATCGATATAAAAATGTAGAATAGAAAAGTATAGAAATATAGGAAAGTAGAATAAAAACAACATTCTGGAGCAGCCAAATAAAACTATTCTAGCAAGCCTGACGTAGTATTTCCCAAAGCCTTTTGTAAGAAGAGTTTCACTCAGGAGAGAGTTCTGTGATCTGACAGAGACTTCAGATATTTGACATACAGAAGGATATCCACTATTCTAAACAGATAGCTAGATTTGAAGAAGTTGCAAGTAGTCCTTAATGTACAACCATAATTGATCTTGGAATTATGGTCATGTCATTGTGGTCATAAATCAAGGTACCCACATGACCAGCAGTAATTTTCTATCCTTTTTCTGTGAGGGTTGTTACGTGAACTCATTCATTTCAATAGGGCAGTTTTTGTCAGGCAAAAACTATCATAAATGTGGGTCATGTGATTTTGGAATGCCATGAATGGTCATAAAGCTGACCCCACCTAACATACGGTCTTATGACTGTGGGGGAAGGACAGCGTAACCAATTTATAACAGCCAGCGGTGCTTTACCAACATAAAGCACCATTCTGTGGTCCTAGTAACTTCAAATAATCATAAAATGAACAGTCACTAAGTAAGGATAACTTGTATTGTTTGGGGAATTAGTCCCATTGTTTTCAATGAATTCTATTAACAAATTATGTTTTAGGGCTTTCATCCTTACTAACATTGTATGGCATAAACATTATCCATCCTTTTTTATAACATGCACTGGAGAAAAAGAATTGCAGTATGTTCATCTGATCAACAATTCCAATACTGAATTTCAATAGTATTGCTCTTTGAGAAACATATGTCTAATAAATTAGAGGTTTATTATTGATTATTTTATAATTTAAAAACCTGATAAACATAAAAATCTTTCAACTATTGATAACCTGCCACGACAAGATATATTTGGAAACTTAGTTCTTGAAAAATGGAAAATATTAACTTCAAGATAACAATCCAGGGAAGTTTATTTTTCAACTCCTGCATTCAGATGACCCCAGTCACTGACCCCAATCTGATTGTTCTGGTTTGAACATCTTCCTCAATTTAGGCTAGAACAAACTCATTGGATTGCTTATATATTCTAGATGAGTTTCCTTTTTTTGCTGAGGAAGTAAAGTATATCAAATGTCCTTTGGCAACAGCTTGGACATGTCCTTTTTTGTCAAAAAGTTTTTTTTTATTTTTTAATTATTTAAATACATCTTTGCGAGAATAGTGTGGTTTCAGGTGTTTTACATTTTAAATCAATCATATCCATAATCACAAATACAACTTTCCAACATCACTTCATTATCTATTATCATTTTTTATCTTTATATTCTCATAAATTACTTTGTATCAGCCTCTTTATTTTTTACTCATTCTCTATCTTCCTTAATCATATATTCTACATGTTTACAATTTAATCTATTCATATCATTAAACATTCAACATTCAATTTATCATCTTAATTTATGGTTATCCCTTCTCTAATTTCCTTAATCATATATTCTTGTAATCGCCATGTTTATATTATCAAATCTGTAACAATATATCCTCATTACTTTATACAAATGGATAACAAAATATTAATTCATTAAAAATATATTAATCAAATACTAATTTCCTTAATCATGTATTCTTATGCTCATCATGTTTATGATTTCATACCATTCTTTAAGCATTTAAAAATTCCATCTTAATTTATATCATACCCTATTATGTTCCCCCAATATGACTTTTACCACAGTTGTTTATATTTTATTTTCTATATGTTTCCTTCCCTCTAACATCTCATTTTTACACAAATATCATTTTCTCTTACCCAATAAATTCAAGCTTATATAATTACCTCATTATCTTATATATATATATATAAATAACAAAATATATAATTCATTAAAAATATTATCCTACCTCAAAGTTATATCTATTCTCTTTCAGACTCCACATAACATTTCTTTTCATATCTTAACGATTAATCATTTATATCTTATATAAACATTTCTATCTTACTTAATTAATCCATTATAAATTCTTATTTTCATCACTATTACATTAACATTATTCCTTCTTGTTCTTATTCTTAATCCCAATTCCTCAAAGTCTATAATATATATTTTTACTACCAATATACCTCTTCATGTGGAGTCTCCCTCCTTTCCATTTCTAACCATTATCTCTAAGTCTTTCTTTTATGTGAATTCGCCGTTTCTTTGCTTGCTTACCATTTATTATCATCTTTTGGCTTTTTCCCTTAATCCTTCCTATATTTATCATCATTTTCTTATATTTTCTCTCCCATTTCACAAATTTACCCCCACCCTTTTTTGATCTCTTCTCTATATTTCCCTAACCATTTATCAGCATTCCAATCTCAATACCCCCAATATCATTAATATCTCATGTTCAACTTCTTTTTTCTTCTTCTGTATTATTTGTTGTTCCTTTTGTTCCGTTTCACTGTTTCCTCTTTCTTCTAGTTCCTCCTGCTCCTTTGTTCTTTCTCCTTCTCCTGCTACCGTCGTCATTTCTAAATTTTCTTCTATATTCTATTTTAGTGCAGGGGTTGCCAACCTTTTGGACCTCAGTGTCATGCCCCTGTCGGAATCTGATTTGGAGGGGGAGGCCGAGCAGCTGACAGGAAGTGAGAGTGTGGCTCCGTTGGCTGTGGAAAAAACTGGGGAAGGGCAAAGGCCGGCTGGGCCGAGCAGGGGAGAGATAGAGCAAGGGAGAGGGAATTTGGAGGAAGACCCAGGCCCACCCCCTCTTCATCCTAGGGCACACAGGGAAGAATGAAGAAGAGAGCAATGTGAGTTGTGTGGCTTATGGGGGAGGAAAGAGCCCTGATTCCCTTCATTAGCTGCAGTTGGGAACACAGTGTTTTAAAAGGGAGGCTGCACATAGCAAAGTTGTTGGGAGCAAATCGTGAATTATCTGGCATCGTCGAGGTTTATCTGGGTTCCTGGGGTCTTCCCAACTGTATGTGGTTTGCTGGGCTTTCAAGTCTGCAATTCCTTCTCCTACACTGTCAAGTTAATTACTGCAGCATGGTTTGTGTGGATTTTTATTTACAGTTTGTATGTACTTTGTTTTTGGACTGAATTTCTTCCACTTAAAGACTGTTCTTGGGAAAGTTTTTTTTCTCCAGCCGAAGGTAACCTGGACATTGGGGACAAAGTTGGGAGGTATTAAGGGGACACTTCTTGGTTATTTGACTTGTTGCCTTTGTGCCACGCCCTGGGTCATCACACTCAGGGACCACCAAACTCATAATTTTAAATCCCGCGAACCAGAGACCCTGGGAAAATCCCCCCAAAAAGTCTGCAGGAAAATTCCCCATCTTGTCCTACCGATTGATCATTCTATATTTGGGATTGCTCCATTCTCAGGGGGGGAGAGAGAGACTTTTGGCTTCATGCAAGGAAAGCAGCCTTTCTTTCTCTCTCCCAAATTCCACCAGAAGTGATTCTCTGCCAGCGCAGCCTCTTGGATCAGGATGTCTTACAGGGTCCCAAAGACTCATTTGTAGCAGAGTTTGGGGGAGAGAAAGAAAGACTTTTGCTGTTTTCCTTGTGTGCAGCCAAAAGCAGAAGAAGAAAGAAGTAGAAAGAAGCAGACCGGTGGCCAGGCCAGGCGAGTGGGGCAAGTTCCCCCCCCCGCCCTTACCCCCCCTGCCTTCACTACCTTGTTTTGTTCGCAGTGCAAGCGACGCAAGCCTTGTGTTCCCGCGCAGCCTGGATTAATTGCTTTGGGGGTGATATTTCTCTGTGGACCACCAAAATTTTCTCACAGACCACCAGTGGTCCCCGGCCCACTGGTTGGCAACCACTATTTTAGAGCATATATCCAACATTCTATCCTACATCTCATTCATGGCTCAAATGTGCATCTTTATTTCTTTGTATATATGACTCATCAGCAAGTGGCACTTTTAATCCAGTTTCACAGCCACTCCTTTTCCGTTTCTTTATTTAGCTTCACCAGTTTTAAAAATATTATTTCTCTTTAAAACAATTGTTTCCAGCATTCAAATTAATGCCTTCCATTGCCAAATCCTGTCCGATCGCCAATTCCAAATTAATATTCTTCCAAATTAATTCCTTTTCAAATTTAAAGTTTTTTTAAAAGAACTCTTTGTATTTCCCAATTTCTTCTATCTTCCATACGCCGCTAACGCAATTCTTTATTCTTCTGTTATAGTTGTTTGGGGTAGTACAAATAAAGTAGATTCTTCTCACCCTTCTCCAAACACCATTCCCAATCTCCACTCTAGCGCTGCACTTAGATGTTCCTCGGCTGTCCCAACTTTGTAGTGTCCATCTTGACATGCTCTTCTCTCCATTGTAGCGTAGAGATCAAGCTCGGGGTTTCTACAGGGGAGTTGTGTTCTCCCCGAGAACCTCACCGCGCATCTCTCCTTAGCTTTGCCACCCCTCCAAGGCAGCTTTTGGCTCCGTATGGAGCCCACAAACAGCAAGAAGCCAGCGCAGGAATAGAGACCTCCGTTCGCTGCTTCTGGTCTCGTTGCAATGTCAGCCGGAAGTCCAGCTTGGACATGTCTTATCTTTGGTTTTTGGTGATGTCATTTTTTAAATTACCTAGACTTTATCCCTAGGGTTTTCTGGTGCAGCATTTTCCTAGCTAAGTAAAGAATGACCCAGTTTAGCTTTTTTAAGCTGAGTCTGTATTACCCTAATTGAAACCTATTATTGGTGTAATTTCAGTGTGCACGTTTAAAGTTGTAAATTAATACAAAATGTAAATTTTACTTGCTCAACAAGGTAAATACTTGTAACTTTCTAATCTAGAAGCCACAAGTTCAGCATATCGTTTTATAGGTTATTTTGTTACTAGAGTAATTATACACAATTAAGCAATCTTCATTTTTGTAGGATTACCAACCACTAGACTTGGTACCTTCTTGGAAAACAGAGTGAATGAGTTTCTGAGACGACAGAATCATCCTGAGTCAGGCGAAGTCATTGTTAGGGTGGTTCATACCTCAGAGAAAACTGTAGAAGTGAAACCTGGAATGAAAGCAAGGTAATTTTCCTTAAACTTTTGAATGGCATGTTTTTTTCTGTTTGAATATTAAATTGTGTTATTGGTACATTTGTCTAAACAATAAAACGTTATTTTGTTAGTCAAAAGAACATTTGATAGTTTCATTTTTAAACATTTTGAGTGATCAGTGCTACTTTTGCAACAATTCAACACATCTACAATTTATTGAGTATTTTGAGCTGTTTTCAGATAGAATATTATTGATTTAAAAGAAGAGATTTGGAAAGAGATGGTGAAAACTAGGCTTTAGATGATCAAATAACAAGTTTATTAAAAAGTTGGACCAATGAACATTACCTTTACTTGTTTGTTTGTTTGTGTGATTGATTTATATCATGTCAGATTTCTACAATGCTCTGTACTTTTGAATGACTTTAGTTAGGTTAGGTTTATTTATATGTTGTTTTACTACAAATGATTCCCATAGAGAAAGTTAAAATATAGCAGAACAAAATAGTTAAAAGTGAATAAATTGTTAAAATAAAATGGTAAAAGAATACGTTGGGCAGCTTCCATATTACAGCATTCTATAACACATGATAGTATTAAATTTTCTAGCATTGCTTTATATTATGCCTTTTAATTTTGCAGATTTGTAGATAGTGGAGAGATGGCAGAACAATTCCCTTACCGAACAAAAGCACTTTTTGCTTTTGAGGAGATTGATGGTGTAGATTTATGCTTTTTTGGCATGCATGTTCAGGAGTATGGGTCCGATTGCCCTCAACCCAACCAGAGGTATTTTAAAAACTTCTTTTTTTTATGATGATGATGATTCTTAAAATTAGATTATTGCTACATAAATGCCTGAGAAATGGATCTTTTTGTAACTGTATCAGGTATATACCCTTTAATACATCTTCCCCCTTCCTGTCTTGCCTAAATCACTTGTCTTTCTCCAAGTTTGAATCATTCCCACATGTTTAACAGGAAGATTTTATTAAATTACACTATTTACTTTATGGAATTATTTAGGAGCATTTGCATTTTTAAAGACAGCTTGACTCACAATTTTTAATAAGCTACTTCTCTCCTTCAAAAAGTTGATGGAGATGAATGTTTTTGCTAACCAGAGAAAATCTACCTTTTTGAAATAAAAGAAAGGTGATTTCTAATTTGAGTTAATGTTTGATAAAGAAGCTCAGAAAGAAATTGAAGAATTTCTTTCCTTGGTTTCTATTTCTTTTTGCAGAAGATAAAGATAAAGATGGAAGAATGCTGATATTGAGCTGTGACCTGCACATTACTGCTGCTTAGCAACTATGTAAAATAATCAAAACAAGGAAAAATTATTAAAGAGTCTTTAAATATGGGAAAATGCTAGGAGAAAGTATATTTTATACCAAAATATTTATGCTAGTTTTCCATCTGTATGGAAATAGTTTTTGGAAACTTAACCAAGCAATATCAAGTATGATGATATATTTTAATGGGAAAATGTATATTGGTGATATTTTATTGGTCAGGTGACCCAAATTTTCAAGATATGCCCATTTTTTATATCTTGTGTTCCCAAAGTCTACTTGATAATGTAAGTTACAATAAAGTTAAGCACTGGAGTATTAACAAAATGTGTTATGTATTGCTACTGTAATAGTGACTGCATCTTATTAAGCATATCAACAGCTATGGTTGGCTGCTTGGTTATTAAAGAGATTTGTATATTAGCAATTTTTGGAGTTGTGTAAACCCAAACCACCTATTACAGTTTTCTGCTAGAACAGCACATTTTGAATAAACTGGAGTTCAAAACTTTTACTCCCGTTACCCATACTGGTTCTTTCCGGGTTCAAGTCAAGCTGTCATGTGCTATTTTGGCCTATGGGAAACTGGTTTGATTGAGGTTGAAAACTAAGATTGGTAACTAATTTGTAAACCAAGTAGAAACCACAATCTTCTAATTCAACCAAAATGATAAACTGGCTTAGTTCAGGTACAAAATATATCACAATATGCAGTTTTTAATTGCTTGAAAGTTCATTCTTTTAGGGCCAAAAATGATTTGAACTCTTTGGAATTACTCCTGTATTTGATTGATTGATTGATTGGTCATCCAGTTGCTCTGGGCACTTTACAGTTGTAAAAAGCATTTAAAAATAAAAAACATTATAAAGACAAAGACCAAAAAACAAATATGGTGAAGGAAAATAAATCTGGAGGGAAACAAGGAAAAGGAAAAAAGAGATGTCAGTCATCTTTACCAAAGCACTAGGCAAAGAGCTAAATCATGGGTAGAGTGATGGCTGTTAGAATCTTGGGGGTGGCGTTGGGGAATTTCATTCCAGAGATCAGGTATACTTCCAAGGTTCCGATATGTGGCATTGTTTAAACAATGGAACTTGGAGTGTGCCAACCCTGCTAGCTTAAATCTACTGGGCAGGTACTCTAGGAGATAGGTGGTCCCTCAAGTAACCTGACCCAGTGCCAATCCCAAGCTTTATAAGTTGCGACCAGCAACTTGAATTACTCCAGAAGCAAACTGGCAGCTATTGCAGTTTGTATGACAGAGAATGCCAAGAGAATTACATTATTCCAGAACTATGTTAATAGCTTAAAAATCTTACATGAGAACTAAGTAAACATAGTTAGATTAAGGTACTGGTTTTAAAAGGAGACTATGAAAGATGAAGTTAAGACAAATTTCTTAATGGAAGAAAAAGGGAATAATTGAATACTGCAAGATGCTTCTGATTATAGCTTATGAACTTTTTCTCTTCTTTAGGCGAGTATACATATCTTACCTTGATAGTGTTCATTTCTTCCGCCCTAAATGCCTGAGGACTGCTGTCTATCATGAAATTCTGATAGGTTACCTAGAGTATGTTAAGAAGTTGGGGTAAGTTTTCTATTTTATTATAGTGGTATGCTATTGTGTATTTCAACATACAAAAAACATGGGGTATTTGGGTTAGTGAACAGATTTATAATTGTAAAGTCAATTGTATTTAAGTCAAGTGGACAGAAAGTTTGTTGAACACCAAATAAAATGTTTCTAGACCATGTTGCCAATCCCTTCTCTGTAGCAGCCAGAAGATAAATATATTTTCAGCATGTATATTAAAATCTTGGGTGTAGATGTGCTTTGATTAGTACACTACTAGTAGCAAACAAGAATGTATTTTTTGTTTCTTTACTGAAGAATTGCATATATGAAATTCCCAAGTGAGGATTGTTGTTAGAATAAAATGAAAGAATTCCTGAAATACTGTCATTAAGGCAGTTAATTTATGTCATTATTATAAAGATCAACAGTAACTTAGATGGATCACTTGAGACTAGTGTGTGGATCTTAATATTTATATTAGAATACTGGTAGCATTTTATTAAAGGCTTCATTAATGCTTTAATTGTTTTGGAAGAGAAATTTAAGGCTAATTTAAGTGTTAGGCTAGTTTTAATCTTAAATGTAAAATTTGGAAAGGAAAATAGTTTAAGTTAAAGACAGATATAAAAAGTGTTACTCTTATAAAAGGAAATCTGATTATGCTTACATCATTATGGTGTTTTTCTGTGCATCTGTGAGCAGAGAGACCTGCAGTTAATCGTATTCATTGCTTTGTTTTTTTGTTTATCTCAATCATAACTAATTTTGATTTTGGAAAAATAACTTTTCAATGGCAAGTTAAGTATGTCTTGTGTTGAGTGTGTCTGTGTATTTATGAACAAGGTTTTTATATGGTTCCAAAAATAGAATATATAGAAGAAGTGTGCTCCAAATGTTCATAATCATTAATATAATTTAAAGCAGAAATTATTTGGCAACATACAGAAAATATGTGAATAATTTCCAAGGGAAGGGAATATATTTGTCTTATTGCCAATTCAATCTGCTAATCAAGCTATAAAATCCTATACGATTAAAGATAGCCCTCAAATACAATAATAATTGAGTCCAAAATGACAATCATAAGTCATTAAGCAAATCTGTACGTGAGCATGCTCAACTTTATAACTTTTTTTGCAGCAATCATTAAATAAACTCATTTTTACCATTAGACATTTTTTCCTGGAAACCGGAAGTAAACCCCGAAAGTTGGCGAAAAAAAAGCATGAAAATCGCAGTTACAAGATATTGCAAATGGGCATACATGGAACTCTGTTGCCGAGTGCCCAAAATGCAATAACATGAGAGGGAATGACAGAGAGAAAACAAGCGTCTATAAAGCTTCTGAACCCCTTTTTATTTATAACTTCTGAGCTTTTCAAATATGACATAGTTATAATATAGTTATTTCAGAGTCAGCTATCTTGTGGAGTACATTCTTGGTTTGAAAAGGTAACAAATGATAATAAAGTAAGTATATTTTAAATAATGTATAATAGAACTAATAACTTATTTCTTCCTTATTAGCTATACAACTGGACATATCTGGGCTTGTCCACCTAGTGAAGGAGATGATTATATTTTCCACTGCCATCCTCCTGATCAAAAAATTCCCAAACCAAAACGACTGCAAGAGTGGTATAAAAAAATGTTGGATAAATCCGTGTCAGAGCGCATTGTCCATGATTATAAGGTTGGTTGTGCATTAGTTGAAATATCACATTTGTTTATCTGTTTATTCCTAAGTCATAGTACTTCAGAAAAATATAAAAAATTATTTGGAAAGCAATATAGCATATCTAGTTTTGATGTTTATGAAACCTATTTGAGATTGTCAAATAGGGGTAGTAGAAATAACATTTCATCTTTCTACATCTCCAAGTGTGTATTAAATAAGAAAAAAAAATCTAAAAGATACGTAATATAGATTGAGAAGGCTTAAGAAACTGGACCTTATAAAGTGTAATATATCATTACAGTTTTATGTATTTATCTAATGCAAATATGTAAGCATATATATTTCTATAACTACTATAACTGTTGTGTTGTTTTCACCTACTGTGTTCTTTATAAATGAAGCCCATATTTAATTATATTTGTCCATATAAAGTCTACATCTATAATCTTCCATAAGTGGCAAGTGTAATCAGGTCTTTAATCCAGTGATCCCCAACCTTTCCGGCTTTGCAGGCCAGTGGAAAGGGGGAATGGGAGATGGTTCTGCATGAGTAATGGGCAAGTGCACATGTGTGTGCAACTCCATTTGTGTAAGTAGCAGGCATGCACACCTGCCGCTCGCTCAGTTTGGAGCTGCATGCATGGCTGCTGCTCATAGGAGTGAAACTGCACATCCACTCACCCACCACTTCCATAGCCCAGTTCCAAACGGACCACGGTAGTGGGTCGTGGCCTGGGGGTTATGGACCCCTGCTTCAATCCATTGAGAGAATGGGAACATACAAGCATCTTTCTAATGCTGTAGTGTTAGTTTTTTTAGCCATAATAAGGGAGAGAGAATCCTTGTACATTGTCCAGTTGTCAAATTCCATGTAATAGATATGTAGTTTAAAAGAATATTATCCTTTGAAAATTTTAGCTTTTGCCGCACAATCCTCTTGGCATGATTACCCTTATTCCCATCATCTAACCCACACCTATATGATCTATTTTCACCCCCAATTTTAGTAATTATAGAACATTATAAAAACATAAGTTTTAAAGAATTATTGTCCTTATTACATCTCCAACAAATGCTCTCTTAGATAGTCCCCATCTATACGATTGTCATGGAGTCTAATAAATTCTAAATATTATTTAGAATTATAAGTCATAGTTCAAGGTACATCAACACTCTTAATATAGAAATAAAGACACTCTTCCATTGTCTAGGCCAGGGTTCCCCAACCCCAGGGTTGCAGATTGATACCAGTCCACGGCCCACTAGGAACCAATCCACACCAGCAAGCAAAGCTTTATATGTGACTGTGTGGGATCTAGGTTACACGTGAAACAACAACCTTCTCACTCTGCGGAAATCTCCCCCCCACCCCACCCCACCCCACCCACCAAGAACTGGTGACTGACAGCCAAAACATTAGGGCCACTAGGTGAAGCAATATAGGGATCTATATTCAACTCATCTCTTAATGTCTGCATATCAAATTAACTTACTGATGACAATTATTTAAAAAATCAATGATATGATTTTTTTTTTTAATTTTAAAGGATTTAACAAGTTGTTCTGGTATCTCAGGTTTTAGTATTTCAGAAGCGGAAAATGCTTCAGGTCCAAACAGTTTGTGTGTATGTGTATGTAAGAGAGAGATTTTTTTTTCATTTTTTTTCTGTTGTGTTTTTTTATTTGTTTTTGCTTTTTCTGTTACTTTAAAAGTAACAAAACATTTAAAAAATTAAAAATTGACAACTATTTTACTGTTTTCAGATTGTTAAATGTGTGCTGAAAAATATTTTGTGTTGCAGGACATTTTCAAACAAGCAACAGAAGACCGTCTAACAAGTGCAAAAGAGCTGCCCTACTTTGAAGGAGATTTCTGGCCAAATGTTCTAGAAGAGAGCATAAAGGAATTAGAGCAAGAGGAGGAAGAGAGGAAAAGGGAAGAGAACACTAGCAATGAGAGCACTGATGTAAGAAAATAGCTTTTATCAAAAATTCATCTGTAACATTTTAAAATATAGAAGTAGAGAAAATAAATGATATATTTTGCTCCAGAAATGTTGATAAATTAATGGATGCAGGGGAGCAAGTGACTCAGATCCAACCAGAGGCACTTTATTTTAATTCAGGAATAACATTAAAATGACTAGAAGGATGTTCCATGTGCCACTGTTCCCAATCCTGTAGTGGGATTAAGCCATGACTATAAGTCTTGTTTGGCTCTTTCAGAAGGTCTGTGCTGAATTAATGAAGGTTTTCTTGAACTGGTTCTTCTAGGAAGAGTTAAGACCTTAAAATTTAGTTTGCCACTCTCAAACTTCACTATGTTCATTTTCAGGTTAGCAAAGGAGATAGTAAAAATGCCAAAAAGAAAAACAACAAGAAGACCAGTAAAAATAAGAGCAGTTTAAGTCGTGGTAACAAAAAGAAGCCAGGCATGCCCAATGTCTCTAATGATCTTTCCCAGAAACTCTATGCCACTATGGAAAAGCACAAAGAGGTAAGAGTGAACAAAACACTTCCACCCCACAAAAAATGAGTTTGGAAGGGAGGGGTTGGTGAAGGAAATGTAAGACAAAGTTGGCAAGTGAGACTAAAAAGACCATAAAACATGCTCTTGGACTTGCGAATGACAAAGCTACAAGAGTACCATTGGTTTTTTAGAAACTAATAACTTTGTGTGGCTTTTTAAAGCACTACTATTATGTGTATCTACAATATTGACCATTTTTGCCAAACTGTAGGATGGGAGTGCAGTATAAAATATATTCATGGATTTATAGTCTGAAGCAATGGTCGCCAACCGGTGGGCCACAAGAAAACGTTGGTGGGCCACAGAGAAATGTCACCCCCAGAACACCCCACCAAAGCAATTAATCCAGGCTCTGGGGGAACACATGGCCTGCGGGAACACAAGGCTTGCGTCTCTTGCATTAGGAAGTGAGGGGAGGGGAGAAAGGGCGGGGGGAACTTGCCTGGCCACCAGGTTGCTTCTTCCTCTTCTTTCTTCTGCTTTTGGCTGCACGCAAGGAAAGCAGCAAAAGTCTTCTCTCCCCCAAACTCCGCAAGAAATGAGTCTTTGTGACCCTGCAAGGCATCCTGCTCCAAGAGGCTGCACTGGCGAAGACTCATTTCTGGTGGAGTTTGGGGGGAGAGAAAGAAAGACTTCTGCAGCTTCCCTTGCATGAAGCCTGAGAATGGAGCTCAGAAGCAGGCTAGGAGTGTGGCTGCCTTGGAGGGGGAGGGGTTGTGTAAGAGAGAGAGAGAGAGAGAGAGAGAAAGAAAATCACCAGCTTTCAAGGTTAGATCGGACCTCTCTTTCCCTCTCCCTCCCTCTGAGAACAGAGCTCAAAAGCAGGCTAGGAGTGTGGCTGCCTTGGAGGGGGTGGGGGGCGTGTAAGGGAGAGAGAGAAAAAGAAAGAAAACCACCAGCCTTCGAAGTTAAATCTGATCTCTCTTCCCCCCCCACCTCCCTCTGAGAATGGAGCTCAAAGGCAGGCTAGGAATGTGGCTGCCTTGGTGGGGGTGGGGGTGGAGGGGTGTATGAAAGACAGAGACAGAGAGGGAGAGGGAGGGAAGGAGAGAGAGAGAGATGCCTGCATTCACAACAGTGTAAAGTTGTAGAATGACTTTTTTTTTGGCTCTGACTTATTCTATACAAATTCAACTAATAATTTATCATTTCCAGATAAGATTAAATAAAATCATGTTTTAGCTAAGCCCTTATTCACTTGTACTACCACCTACTTTCCATTGATTATAACTGGATCACTAAAGAAAACCAAATGACTGCATTTCAGTGTTTAGTTAGTACATTGCTACAAATTATACTTACTACTATAAAAAGCATTTGATGAAATTGAAAAAAATTAAAGCCTGTGATTCCTGTAATCTATACAAACATTTAACACTGACATTAAAAGCATAAACTATCAAACATTCTATATTCAAAGAATGTGGCTTAGAAGAGAACCTAAAATAGGCCTGTCTCTTTTACAGGTATTCTTTGTGATCCGTCTCATTGCTGGTCCTCAAGCCAACTCTCTGCCTCCCATCATTGAACCTGACCCACTTGTTCCCTGTGACTTAATGGATGGACGTGATGCCTTCCTTACCCTTGCTAGAGACAAACATCTTGAGTTTTCTTCACTACGAAGAGCAATGTGGTCAACTATGTGTATGCTAGTAGAGCTGCATACACAGAGCCAGGACCGTTTTGTGTACACCTGCAACGAATGCAAGCACCATGTGGAGACAAGATGGCACTGCACTGTTTGTGAGGTATGCCTAACCTATAGTGAAGCAGCTGGTTAAACTTGCATTTCAGGAATTTCTTTTGCCTGCTAGTACGTGCTTAATCATTGGATAATAAATATATAGGTACCTCTGTCATCTCAATATAGCTCCTTTCTACTTACTAACTTTGTAATAGGAAATGATAGGAATCCCTTCTAAAGAGAGTACATTACCTATTTTATTTACCTGAGAATTCCGTGGGTTATGCATATACATCAATATGAAATAGGAGGAAGCCCCCTTGATTTGTGATTCTTTGTATATTGAGCCGTGGTGGCACAGTGGTTAGAGTGCAGTACTGCAGACTACTTCAGCTGGCTGATTGCAGTTTGGCAGTCCAAATCTCACCAGGCTCAAGGTTGACTTAGCCTTCCATCCTTCCGAGGTGGGTAAAATGGGGAGCCAAATTGTTGGGGTCAATAAACTGCTTAGAGAGGGCTGTAAAGCGGTATATAAGTGCTTTTGCTATTGCTATTGCTATTAGTACCAATGCATTATTACTTTCTGTGATCTTCACTGTATAGTTTTGATACACTATTAAGTCTAATAAGCATTTGGTTAACTTGCCCGGCTTTTTATGTTTGCCTATTTTAATAAGTTTTTCTGTTAGGCTTAGAATGCAAAGATGCTTATGTGCATAAAATATAAGAATTTTTTTCTGAGATAACTTTACTATTACCATATTGAAATTGGTGGAACATAAATAATGTACATTACTACATTATTTATTTAGAGTTGATAAGCTAGTTAACATCTGTTGGTCTAAAGTTCCAAGTAACTGACTGTATTAATTTCTGTGTTTAGGATTATGACTTGTGCATTACCTGCTATAACACTAAAAACCATGAGCACAAGATGGAAAAACTGGGCCTTGGTATTGATGATGAAAGCAACAACCAACAGACAGCCACCACTCAGAGTCCTGGTGATTCACGTCGCCTGAGTATCCAGCGCTGCATCCAGTCTTTAGTTCATGCCTGCCAGTGTCGCAATGCCAACTGTTCACTGCCATCTTGTCAAAAGATGAAGAGAGTTGTCCAGCACACCAAAGGCTGCAAACGCAAAACCAATGGAGGGTGTCCAATTTGCAAACAACTCATCGCTCTTTGCTGCTACCATGCTAAGCACTGCCAGGAGAACAAGTGCCCAGTGCCATTTTGTCTAAATATCAAACATAAACTTCGTCAGCAACAGCTTCAGCATCGCCTACAACAGGCCCAGATGCTTCGGAGGAGGATGGCAAGCATGCAGAGGACAGGCATAGTAGGACAACAGCAAGGGTTGCCTTCACCTACACCAGCCACACCAACTACTCCAACAGGCCAGCAGCCACCAACTCCTCAAACACCACAGCCTCAGCCTCCACCACAGCCTGCTTCACAACCACAGCCTGCACCTCCTAATAACATGCCTCCATATAGCATTGCAAGAACTCAACCTCCTGGTGCTGTGTCTCAAGGCAAGGCGGGTGGCCAGGTAACTCCTCCAACAACTCCTCAGACTGTTCAGCCACCTATCCAGGGTCCTCCTGCAGCTGCTGTGGAAATAGCCATGCAGATACAACGAGTAGCAGATCACCAGCGGCAGATGGCTCATGTTCCAATCTTCCAGAGGCCTATTCAACACCAGATGCCTCAAATGAATCCAATACAGCCTATGAGTGTAACGCCACCTCAGATGGCCAGGGGTCCCGGTGGGCACATAGACCAAGGGATGGGATCAACAGGAATACAGCAGCAGCCAGCATGGGCCCAAGGTGGGTTGCCACAACCACAGCAACTGCAGCCAGGAATGCAAAGACCAACCATGATGTCAATGGCCCAATCTGGACAGCCAATGAATATGTCACCGCAACCAGGAATGGGTCAGGTACCTGGTGCAGCTTCATCAAAACCAGGCTCTCTGCCTCAGGCAGCCTTACAAAACCTGCTGCGGACTCTCAGGTCTCCCAGCTCTCCCATGCAGCAGCAGCAGGTGCTTAACATCTTGCATTCAAACCCTCAGTTGCTAGCTGCTTTCATTAAGCAGCGAGCTGCCAAGTATGCGGGTAACCCAAATCCACAAGGCATGCCGGGACAGCCTGGAATGCCTCAGGGCCAGCCAGGTCTGCAGCAGCAGCAGCAGCAGCAGCAGGTCATGCCAGGACAACAAGGTGTTCACTCAAATCCAGCCATGCAGAACATGAATCCAATGCAAGCAGGTGTCCAGAGGCCTAGCATGCCTCAGCAGTCACCGCCTCAGCAGCCTCCACCCCAACAAGCCATGGGCGGGATGAATCCTCAGGCACAGCCGATGAACATGAATCATTCGGGGATATCTCCCCAGTTCCGGGATCTCCTGCTAAGACGACAGATGATTGAACAACAGCGTCAGCAGCAGCAGCAGCAACAAGGAACAGGACCCAATTTAGGTCCTGGCATAGCCAATCATAACCAGTTCCAACAGCCTCAAGGAGTTGGGTATCAGCAGCAACAGCAGCAACAGCAGCGAATGCAGCATCATATGCAGCAGTTGCAGCAAGGAAATATGGGACAGATGAGCCAGCTTCCTCAGGCCATGAGCGCAGACACAGGATCAAATTTGCAGCAGGCTTACCAACAGCGATTACTCCAACAGCAAATTGGATCCCCAGCGCAGCCGAATCCTATGAGTCCTCAGCAACACATGCTTCCTAATCAGGCCCAGTCCCCACACTTACAAGGTCAACAGATTCCATCATCACTTACCAATCAAGTTCGTTCTCCGCAGCCTGTTCCCTCACCACGCCCCCAATCCCAGCCACCCCATTCCAGCCCTTCCCCTAGGATGCAGCCTCAACCTTCTCCACATCACGTCTCCCCACAGACCAGCTCCCCACATCCAGGATTGGTAGCTGCCCAAGCTAACCCCATGGATCAAGGGCACTTTGCTAGCTCGGACCAGAGTGCAATGCTTTCTCAGCTTGCTAGTAATCCAGGCATGGCAGGGCTCCATGGTGCAGGTGCCACAGAACTGGGACTCAGCTCAGATAATTCAGACTTAAATTCAAATCTTTCACAGAGTACACTAGACATACGCTAAGATACCTTGTAGCATTTTGGGAGCAAAAAAAAAAACTTATTTTCGCAAGACGTTTTGTACTGAAGACAATTTTTTGAATCTTTCTTAGCAGAACATTTTCCCTGGAATACACCTGAAATCTGCAACAGTAGTTTGTGGTTTTAAAAACAAACAAAAAGAAACCCCAACTGAAATGGGGGACAATGGAATACAAAGAAAATATATTTTTGTTATGGCTGGGACTGTAACCAGTCCTTTTTTTTGTTTTTGTTTTCCCTTCGCGTGCGTTGGGGAGGTGCTTGGGAGTGGATAGTTGTTTGGCTGCTGACCAAATGACTTCCTTCACTAGCCTCCAATAGGTTTTATTTTTTTTAAATTAATGAAAATATGTAATATTGATAGTTATAATTTACTGAGGCAAATGGTTAACTTTCCCCTATTCTGGTTTTCCTCTTGTCTATTGCAAAAACAACAACAAAACAAAACAAAACAAAAAGAACATTACCTAAACTGGAGGACAAAAAGGTGAATGTTGCTTTAAAATTACAGTGCATATATATATATATATAAATATATATATAAATATATATTAAAGATAAATACCAATTTTCTTCCTTGGTTGGAAAGATGTCAATTCTTTTAAAAACTGTAAAAAAAATATTAAGAAATCCAGTCTCCCCTCCGAAGTCTACTTTTGTCCTCCAAGAATTTTCTATACCAGAGTCTGAGCTTAAACTTCAAGTATTAAAATTTGTACATGTAGAAAAGAAAACTTTTTTGCAAATATATGGGGGCAGCTGCCAAATGGATGTAGTATATATATTGTGGTTTGTTTTCCTGAAAGATTTTTTGTTATTTTTACATCTAACAAAGGAAAAAACTAAAGAGGGTAAGAAACTATTCCAAGGGTAAAATTTTAACCTGAGTGAAAATCCCTGGGGTTTCTTCTTTATGCTTGCTTTCTCTTTCCCTTCCTTCCCTTTTTCTCCTCTTCCATTTTCTGTAAAACTTGAAAATAGAAAGCAAAAAACCCTCAAATGTTGTAAATCATGCAATTAAAGTTGATTACTTATAAATATGAACTTTCGATCACTGTATAGACTGTTAATTGATTTCTTATTACCTATTGTTAAATAAACTGTGTGAGACAGACTGGTTTTTTTATGCTTCCCTTCTTCTTTTCCCTACGGTTGGTGCTTATTTTACAATGGGGAAAGAAGATGGTATGCTTTTACAGACAACCTATGGAAATCCAATCCATGTATATATACTAGTGTTTGGTCTTTTTTAAAGGTGGGTATTTTAGACTCTAATGAAGCTGATGAATGTCCATTTTGGTGTGCCTTTGTATGTCCTTTTATTTGTATTTTGAAAAGTACAAGACATTTTTAATATCCAGGTGGGATGCTAATTGCATATTTGACTTGGTTGCACTTCAGTCTCAAGCAAACATGTTCAGTGTGCACATTTTTGAGCTGTGCAGGCTTATTCTTCTGTGATTTAGGAAGTTGCTTTGCATTCTGATTCAAGAGTTTTGAAAGTAATAAAAATTTCAGGCACATTTTGACCACTCCAGCAGTTACAGATTTTAATTATAAAAATGATTTGATACATCCTTCATCAAAAACAGTAGTTTTTTTGTTTGAAGCTTTTCATGCCCACTCACTTAAATGGAATAAATAATTCTTAGCTACACATCGGTGTACAAGGAATCTAAAGATACATTTTGATTTCTTCTGATGTGGGTGGACCTGAGAATATGAGGAAGTTTAAGTTTTTACATTGTCATGTAAACATATGGAAATTCTGTCATCTTGATGTCTACATATGCTGGTAAAGATAAGGTTTTCTAAATTATATATGGCATCTTGTATCCATTTCTGGATTGGCTCAAAACTATAGTCATGCTCTTATTTTGGGTATCCCCTAGAAATGACCAGTGTCGTCTTAGATTAGCAAATTAGAACATTAGTGATTGAATATTAAGTAAAGATAAAAGGATACAGATAAGTTTAACATGGGAATAGTAGCAGAAAAGAGAAAAACAGGAATATACAGTTCCTAGTACAAATATAATTCACACAGAGTATGTTAAATTGTACACATGCAATGGTCTGTAGTATCAAAATTCAATTTTAAGTTGAAAAGGTGGTCAGTATAACTTGGATGCATAACTATTTTGTCAAATTTATCTTTTGTATTTGTTAGAGTATATTGTATTCATTAAGCATTTCTTGACCAGTTCAAAGTTACAATGAACCACTCCTCTCCCAAGGTACTCATGACCTGAATTTGAAGTTCTGATGGTCAGTCCCTGTCTCCTTGAAATCAGGTGATGATCACATTTTTGGTACACTGGAGCCAGCCCACGTTAACAGCTGTTTGCAGCATCCTACAGTCATGTGACTGATTTTCTACATTTTTGCCAGTTTCTGGGGAAAAAGTCCATTGTGGAAAATAGATTCTCTTAACAACTGCTGAAAAAATGTAAAATCAGGTTGATAATACGGGTGCCAGAATTTAACAACTGCCATGATATACAACAGAAATGCCAGACTCGGTTAACAGTCATAATTCGGGACTATCTATAAATTATTGATTCATTTTTATGTATATAAATTCCTTCTGCATGTTTTATTTGGAAACATAATCTAGTAGCTACGTAAACTGACCTTGCTGGTTCATATTTTTAAAAGGGGTTTATAGTAATCTTAATCTGTTCTGTCAACGGATGTAAGTTTTATATTCTATTTTTTAGGGCTTAATTACAATTAGCAATGAGAAATGTTCCTCTAGAAGAATTAAATATTTGGCACTTCTTAGTTCAACTGGGCTAAATTTTAATTATGTTTTTGGCTAGTGTAGAAAGATGGAAATATTCCTGTCTGAAGGCCCCATTCTCTTTCATAGTAACATCTAAACTCAGAGATTTCTTAATCTCAGCCATTTTTAGGTTGAATTATTTTGTCTTGTAGAAGCAACATAGATGTATACTTTTTATAAAAATGTTTACATCTCCTTCAAAAATGTTTAGGATATCATTGTAAAGTAATTTGTATATTTCCCAGCTAAGAGCTATACAAAAAGTTACATCTATTTTGTTACGATGAGATTTCTGTTTGTTATGAAATCATAGCACAAGCAGAGCTATCTCTAAATTAAGATTAGTGATAATATTAAATCAATAATTAATAGGTGCATAGGATGCATTGTTGATTTGAGAAACAAAATACATGTGAATTTACATGCCTTTGAGGTATTGGATGATACCTTATCAAATGTCAATCTGTGTTGGGATTATTTATCCAAAAAAATGATTTCCAAATACGCTTTGTATATTTAGGAAGATAGAAGGTTACAGAGGATGTAACAGTGCGGCTGCCCCAATTACTCTACCATTAAATATTATGATCAATATCTCTAGGAATTATTCATATTCATACTAATTTTTATTTTATTTAAATTTATTGTCTGCCCAACTAATAGACCATTGCCTTACAAAATAATGGAGCTTTCACCTTAATTGAGGAACTTAGCTCTAAAATAAAAGATAGTGAAAGTAGAAGACAAAAATAGTGTTGAATGCCGCAGATCGCAAATCTACACAAATGTCATGTCTGGATTGGTACCTATTCTATCAGTTATATTGTTTTCCCAGCATCCTGAGATAATCCAAGTAAGGTATGAGTAGATATTTCCAAGTTACATAAAAGATTATACCTGACTAGGTAAAAAACAGCACAACTTTGAGGACCCTTGCCTGTCTGTGTATGGGAGTATTCATGACCATCTTTAATTGCTCTGACACATTGAGGTAGAAATAGAATATATCAAGTACTGGAAGGAAGAGTTGGAAATAACCTGCCATTATGGAATTTGGACTTTGTTGGTATGCATAAAAATTGACTCTGCCAAATAACTAGATGTGGTTTCTTGAGAACATACTCTGAAAGTCTCAAGTGATGGTGCTCCCACAACTTCCAAGAGCAAGGTGTTCCATTGGTTGATTATTCTCACTGTCAAAAAGTTTCTCCTTATTTCCAGGTTAAATCTCTCCTTGTTCAGTTTCCATCCGTTATTCCTTGTCTGGCCTACAGGCACTTTAGAAAATAGCTTGATCTCTTCCTCTCTGTGGCAGCCCCTCAAATATTGGAAGACTGCTTTCATGTCTCCCCTGGACCTTCTCTTTACTAGACCAGCCAAGCCCAGTTCCTGTAACTGTTCTTTATATGTTTTCGTCTCCGGTCCCCTAATTATCCTGGTTGGTCTTCTCTGTACTTTTTCTAGAGTCTCAACATCTTTTTTGTAATGTGGTGAACAAAACTGGATGCAGTACTCTAGGTGTGGTCTTACTAAGGCTTTACAGAGTGGTATTAGTACCTCCCTTGATCTTGATTGTATCCCTCAATGCAATTTAGAATTGCATTAGCTTTTTTGGCAGCTGCTGCACACTGCTGGCTCATATTTAGCAGGCTGTCCACTAAGACTCCAAGATCCCTCTCACAGTTACTGCTATTGAGCCTGGTTTCACCCAGTCTGTATAGGTACTTTTGGTTTTTCTTGCCATTTGAATTCCTAAAGGTTTATTACTCTTGGTGAAAACTAAATCAACTGAATTCTGATTTGTATATCATTGTATCATGACAATGTATAACCATTAAGTTGTTCCTAAAGAACTAATTGTTTCTAAAGATAGGAGAACTACTATATCCCCCCACTCTTCTGCAAAATCAATGATAATATTACCACCATATTGGTAAAACATCTTTGGCATTTTGACATCTGACAAGCTAGCAAAAAGTAGGTTATTATGAAGTTTTAAACTTGGATGCCACCTGATTCTCAAAGACTCTGAGCAACTCTCCATAATCAAACTAAAATTTACAATACTAAAAAGATGGCAAGTGCAATGAAGTGAAAGGTATGCCAAAAGCCTTGTTAAAGTACCAAGTCTTCATAGTTTTTATTAACAGTGGAATAAGAATGGAAGAGGATTAACAGGGTGTATCGAAAGTCAGACCTCATAGATGAGTGTTGTTTTTCCCCCAGTGAAAATGTTGAAGTACTTGGGAGTCCTCCAAGATCATATGTCATCTGGCAACCAGTTTGAATATTTAATGTACTATAATAATCTACGGGCCTGATTTTTGGATTGTCCTTTATATGTACTGGTAGATCTTTGAGGAACTTGCAGTGACTTACATGTATTCCCAATTACAGAAGCAATAGATTGCTTTCCCTGGGCTTGTGATGCAGCTAATATTTAAAATTTTGTATGAAAAGACTGATTATTTTTGGCTACTCAAAATTTATTCCCAAAAGGAAGAGTTTATATAATTTCAACAGAACATTCCATTTGGTAGATCTTGGCTAATAGCTCCTATTAGCTATAAATCTGCTGCCTCTTTATTTGAATTTTAAAATGAGGCTAGATGAGAACCATTTTTGTTTTGTTTTTATATATAATCTGCTATCCTTTGTATATAAATAATTTTCAGAGAAAAATTGAATTGAATTTAAAAGACCTAATAATCATAATCACTTCCATGAAAAATTTGAATTAAGCATCCCTTTGGTAGGTTTTGGCTGTCTCTTCAAGAAGGGGTATATTATTCTGCACTTCAGTTATGCAATCATTTTATATAGTTGTGCATAAAGAGGAGAAATCAGGATTTCTTACTGTAGTAACTTGGATAACATTTATGTTAAGAAGTAACATGTGAAAGAAGGAAAACAGGCTAGATAGTATAAAAATTTTGACTTTATTCTGATTTGGTGCTCCTGAGTGCTGAACAAAGAAGTTACAATTATATCCATATTTTAACATTGCTGTATATTGTAGCATATGCTTCTCATAATATGTGTGACTGTGTTCCTTTTCCCTATACCATATTCACTATTACAAAGTAGATTAGGGATTAGATCAAAACAATGTGAAGACAATGTTACCTTGCAGCAGCCCAAGAATTCTTTTTAAATTATCTTTCAGTTTCTGAAAATATAGCGCATGAGTATGTTAAAATTCCATGAGGTTGCTGCCACTTTCTATATGTCTCCAACTATCCCCTTGATCCCTAAAGTAGCCTATCAAGCGTATAAGATCTTATTTTAAACCTGTCCTGATACTTAGGACCTAACAACAGCATCATTG